AGGCTGAGGCAGGAGAATCACTTGAACCTGGGAGGTGGAGGGTGCAGTGAGTCATGATTGCACCATTATACTCCAGCTTGGGTGACACAGCGAGAGTCCATCTCAAAAAAAAAAAAAAAAAAAAAAAAGAAATGACATCTATTGTGTGATCTATCTGCCTTTCTCATGGAAAGGCTGCCATGTAGAGTTGTGCACTATACAGCTTGGGGCATCATTCACATTCATAGTCATTGTGCCCATGTGTTGTTATTAAAACACTTTCCCAACTTATCAGTGAAATGTCTTGAGGGAAAAGTGGCAATGAAGTTGCCATGAAACCTTTCTGAGACCAGGCTAGATGCTTCCTGGGACCGTAAGCCTCTGTTGGTACCAAAAAGGACCTATGCCAGATGAGGTACTTGGAAAGAGTCATTTTCATCCAAGCCTTTCCCCTCTAATCCTGTTACCAGAGAACAAGTCAAGCCGGTTCCCATTATCCCCCTGTAAAGTTCTATTTCTTAAGTAACGTTCTATTTCTTGAGCAGAATGGTGGTTTCAGACGTGTTCATTTTATTATGTTTTAAAACTTAGGTACATGTTACATATATTCATTTTAAATGCCTTGATACAAATAAAAAAGGAAAGCACATATATACAAATAAGAATGCTACTGTCATGGGATAACCTTGAACCTGCTTAAAGTTTTCTCAATTAACTTAATCACAAGCTTCAGTACTGTAACTATTAGCTGGCAAACATCTTACAACACGCTATATACATGTCGTGAAGCTAGGGTTAGAAATCATTGTCCTGTTAGAGTACTCAGAAAGATTAGAACAATAGTAATGCCTTTTCCATGTTTTAAAAGATTACTTTATATACCAGGGTGATTCTCTTACAGCTTGTTAGAATCTGTACTAGCAGTATGCACAGGCAGGCTACTAAGTTTCTCTCAGCCTGTCTCTATAATTTAAAGCAGTCACTGAGCAGCAGCAATTTCTTCTAAAATCTATTATATATAGACTGGGCACAGTGGGTCATGCCTGTAATCCCAGCATTTAGGAGGCTGAGGTGGGAGGGTTGCTTGAGCCCAGGAAGTGGAGACCAGCCTGGGCAACAGTGAGACCCTGTCTCTAGAAAAAAAATTATCATATAGAAGTTGGAATATTATTAGCTGCTACACTAAGCAGCACTGAACAGCCTTCCACATTTCTGCTCAGTTGGAAAAACACCTGACCTCAAAAATGCTTTGGTGCAGGAGATATACAATGTATGTAAACTGTTAGAGGTGCCCATTGTCTAATTCTCTTCTTCCTTAGTGACAGAATCCCAAGATGTTAATTTGGCCTATGAGAACCCAGAGTATGACTTCCCATCTAGCTTCATGGCTAGTGGGACCCAGCAACTGTTTGAAATTTCAGTTTATATAGGGTGTAGAACTTCTAGGAAGTGTTCTTCGGGTGGGGGTGGTAATCCCTTTCAGCTGGCTCAACTGCTGATAGGAAGTTTCTAGCTGGAGCAGCTGTCTTCAAGTAAGAATTGAAAGCCACATGTTGGTCCAATGCAGTGGCTCACACCTGTAATCCTAGCACTTTGGGAGGCCAAGGCAGGAGGATCACTTAAGCCCAGGAGTTCAAGGCCAGCCTGGGCAACATAGCAATAACCTCATCTCTACCAAAAACAAACAAACAAACAAAATTAGACAGGCATGGAGGCGTGTAGGTCTGTAGTCCCAGGTACTCTGGAGGCTGAGGTTAAAATGGGAGACTATAGCTTGAGCCTAGGAGTTCCAGGCTGAAATGAGCTAGAACTGTGCCACTCCACTCCAACCTGGGAAACAGAGTGAGATCCTATCTCATTAAAAGAAGAAAAAGGCCAGATGTGGTGGCTCATGCCTGTAATTCTAGCACTTTGGGAGGCCGAGGTGGGTGGATCACCTGTAGTCAGGAGTTGAGACCAGCCTAACCAACATGGAGAAACCCTGTCTCTACTAAAAATACACAATTAGCCAGGCATGGTGGCACATGCCTGTGATCCCAGCAACTTGGGAGGCGGAGGCAGGACAATCGCTTAAACCCAGGAGGTAGAGGTTACGGCGAGCTGAAATGGAACCATTGCACTCCAGCCTGGGCACCAAGAGTGAAACTCCATTAAAAAAAAAAAAAAAAAAAAAAAAAGCCGGGCGCGGTGGCTCAAGCCTGTAATCCCAACACTTTGGAAGGCCGAGGCCAGCGGATCACGAGGTCGAGAGATCGAGACCATCCCGGTCAACATGGTGAAACCCCGTCTCTACTAAAAATACAAAACATTAGCTGGGCATGGTGGCGCGTGCCTGTAATCCCAGCTACTCAGGAGGCTGAGGCAGGAGAATTGCCTGAACCCAGGAGGCGGAGGTTACGGTGAGCCGAGATCACGCCACTGCACTCCAGCCTGGGTAACAAGAGCGAAACTCCGTCTCAAAAAAAAAAAAAAAAAAAAAAAAAAAAAAAGCCACAGGTTAAGAATGGGGAGAAAAAATATAGACAGAACCTGGATCCCTGACCCTGCATGGATATGGGCTCTGGATTGCCTTTCCAGAATTTTATATGCAAGAGAAACTTTTTTTTTGTTTTTTTAGGTTTTTTTTTGGTCAAGATAGGGGTCTCACTCTATTGCTAAGGCTGGTTTTGAACTCCTAGGCTCAAGCAATCCTCCTGTGTTGGTCTCCTAAAGAGCTTAGATTACAGGCGTGAAGCCACCGTGCCCAGCTGAGAAACAAACTATCTTGTACAAGCAGCTATTGTTTGGGGACACAGCCGACTCATACATACAAACTAATGCATAATGCCAGGCTTCAGTCTAATTTCCTTAACTGAGAAGGCTGATACAAATAACATATTGCACCTGTGACAGGCAGTCACATCTACTGCTAAAATAACATAAGATAAATGTATTCTGTAGAGAACATTGTGTGTCACAAACAGCGGCATTTTCAGCAACAAGTAATTGCCTTTACACTAGCTTAAGATGCAAAATAACTGACAAAGTCCCTTCCCACAAGAGAACTGTAACGAACAATTTAAACAAATCAAAAATGGCTTGTTTTATTTACAATACTTAGTGCATCTTACAAATAACATATTTGCATTCCCTAAGTCTTTTGGAAAGTAATTCCAGTTTGTGCAATGAGTTTACAGGAAAATCTTAAGATATCTACTAGACATCTTAAACCTAAAACTCTAAATTTTAAAAGATATTTTACACTATAATAGAAGACTGTTTTTAATTAAGAAAAACTAAACTCTGTAGTTAAATATTGCCCTCCAGTATCTTTAATGCAAATATAAACCAGATTAGACTATGAAATAAGACAATTAGATTTGGGTGAATTATTCTGACCTCTCCTCCCCAATAAAATGCATGCACAACATGGTAAATTACATTAGTCACATTTTAATACTTTTTTTTTTTGGACTCTCTCAACTGTTGTTTTGCTCAATTGGGGTGCAGATAGGTAGGATTCCAGTCTGGAGAAACCCTAAACCACTACACTCTGCCCCAGAGTAGGGAAAGATTTTCAGTATGTTTGTGGACACAGGCAGGATTAAGGAGCCTTTTGAGTGGTTTCTCTAGCTAACATAACATTAGTCTTACTAGCTAACATAAACAAGGTTCCCCTCCAGGCCTGATAAAGCCTGCAGAGGTTATTTCCCTACTAGTTCTGGAAGCATCTTATTCATGCCACCAGAGAACAGGCTCTCTCCTCCTGCTCCTCCCTGAATCACCACCTACATTTTAGTGCTTTCTGAACTGCTGACAGAAACCGAAGTTCCTGTTCAGGTCCCAGAAACTTTTTTTTTTTCTTTTGAGATGGAGTCTCGCTCTGTCGAGTGCAGTGGTGAAATCTTGACTCACTGCATCCTCTACTCCCCGGGCTCAGGCGATTCTCCAGCCTCAGCCTCCCTAGTAGCTGGGATTACAGGGTGTGCCTGCCACCACACCCATCTAACTTTTGTATTTTTAGTAGAGACAGGGTTTCACTATGTTGGCCAGGCTGGTTTTGAACTCCTGACCTCAAGTGATCCACCCGCCTTGGCCTCCCAAAGTGCTAGGATTATAGGCGTGCCACTGTGCAGGGCCCAGAAACTTTATGTCACATAAAGATCTATGAATCAAGGTAAAGGGTAATTAAATTAGCTTAATTGTGACAGATTTTGTAACTCATGCATATGAAAAAGAATATAATTAATTATATCATTTATATAGCTGCCATCTTTTTTCTTTTTGAGATGAAGTCTCACTCTTTCGCAGGCTGGAGTGCAGTGGTGCAATCCCTGCTCACTGCAACCTCTGCCTCCCGGGTCCAAGCAATTCTCTGCCTCAGCCTCCCGAGTAGCGTGGATTACAGGTGCCTGCCACCATGCCCAGCTACATTTTTTCATATTTTTGGTAGAGACAGGGGTTTCACCATCTTGGCCAGGCTGGTCTTGAACTCCTGACCTCGTGATCCACCTGCCTTGGCCTACCAAAGTGTTGGGATTACAGGCATGAGCCACCATGCCCAGTCAGCTGCCATCTCTTAAAACATAAAGTCCAAGTCCTAACTCTTGAGCCACAAAGAAGAAACAGGTATCTCTACACTGGATCCACCTCAGCTTAGCAATGCATCTCTGCATCTCCACAAGACACTTCTAAAAAACATCTGGTGTCTTTAACATCTGGCATAGGTGGTTGAATGGGGAGATACTAGGCTGCAGAAATAAAGTCAATGTTTGACATAGTCAAGAGAATTTTAAGATAAAGAAATGGTGAGGTAGAGTTGAGAGAGTTCAATTATATTGTTGAGCACAGACCATTTGGCACATTCTAAAATTAGATTCCCTATCAAATTCTCCCTTGTGGTACCTTTACAAAGTGCTGACACCTTAGGAAGCCTCCAACACCTATGTAAAGCTAACAGAATAAAGTCATTTAGAGAAGTCCATCCTTGGCTCTTTAGCTATTATCTACCCCCATATTGAAGCAAATAAAAAACAATGCTATCCATTTGCTGAATTTATTTAAACAAATCAATTTAGAAATACCATAGAATTAAACAAAACTTCTGACATGTAAACATACTGCCATGTTCCTGAAACAGATGTTAACACCTGATAAAAGTTAATAATCACTTGTTAGGAAAGCTGTCCATTAATAAGGCCAGTCTTCAGCAAAAGTAAAACCATTTTCTTTCTTTAGCTTTCCTAGTCTGAAAACGCAATACTATTGAACCACAATCAAATATAATGACAACATTGGATGGATAGATCAGTACCATTGGTTACAGCTGTTAAATAGTTTCATTCTTGGCGCCACATAGAACAATTAAGCCAATCACATCGAATAAATCATGGCTTTTTTTTCTTTATCACAATTCACTAAGTGATGTTAATTATGGTCCTTGTCAAACACGTTTGGTAAAGGCTATTTACAGTGTACATGGCTGAGCATGCACTATTTATAGTTACAAAGATACCTGCCAGTTTTTTACAAGAGAATTACACAGTGCCTGAAATGGTGAAACATCTCACACATCATTTAAATCAATATAATTTCAAGCAGGAAACGTTCCTTATTTGACCACAATTGCAATAATTACATGAAAATTCTTATAAAAACACGAATCCCCTTCAAGAAATTGATGCATATTCTACACACTACAGGTTAAGGCAGTAAAAAAATGTATTCCTGATAACTGGAGGTCTTGACAATGTCAATTAAAGCTGTCTGACTCTAGGTTTTCATTCTCCATCATATACCAAAAGTTTGTGAATGGTTTTATTTTTAAAGTCAAAAAAGTACTAGTAACTAAGAAGAAATGAAGCTGGAAAAAATTGCTAGGGAAAGGAAAAATGAAAATTGGATTTTGCCTGAAAGTTTTCAAATCATAAACAGCATTATTTATGAGTCTAAGCCTTAAATGTATAAAACAAATACATATAGTTCACTTTTCTTAATTTAAAATATACTGTACTTTGAACAATTCAAGTAATGTAAGACTATCAAAAATAACTTCATAAGCCATACAAGTGTCAACTGCATTTTCAGTATTTTAAGAAGTTTTTAAAAACTGTAAACTAAACCATGACAGTTTAGTTAAACAAATGATAAATGACTTTATTTGCACTTGTGATTTCTTTAATACAAATTGCTACCAACAAATATGTAAAGATATGGCAGGTTATGCATTTGATCAAAGCACTTTGATTTAAGCATAAAACAGATTCAAATGTTACAAGTTCTGTGCATAAGATCCAAGGAATTGCTTACTAATTTGTAGGCAACCCTCTTTCTAATCAGAATCCTTTATTCCTCGGCTGCAGATGAGATAGGGCACAATCTGTTGTAAACAGGGCACTGTTGTAAAACCAGGATAATATTCTTAAATTAAGATCGTTCTTGTTCAGTTAAAAAGACTTTCCCAAGTGTCTTCCATCACTGAGTATATTCTGCTGACCTCTTAATTTCATAAATTAACTTTCTTTTGATTCCATTTTTATGGTGGTTGTGTCTGCAGTTTTGTTTTAAAAATTGGTTTAAATTTATATAAAACTCTGTACATGTTCACAAATTATTGCATAAACAGCATAATCTTCAAGACAGTGTTTGCAAACACATGTCCAATTCAGGAAAAAAAATTTCACGTTTCTCGTCTGGCTTTTTTCTTCTTTTTTATTTGTTTGGGAGATTCCCAGCTAGTTTCAGACTTGGCTAAAAAGAAAAAGGGTGGAAAACAAACAAAAAAAAATTAGGAGGACAGTAAATACTGCCACATCTCAGTAATATATAAGTAGTAACTATGAAAAAATGCTTTAAAATACTCAAATTTTATGTATAAGTTTTTAAGCCCTTGTTACAGATTTTAAGTTATTCTACATCTTCCTCCCTCCTTTCCTTTCAATGGTATTATTAGGTTGAACTACATGGAACTACTGATATTTAACCAGTTTTGACCTAAAAAAACTGTTATTTAATATGGCTCAACCTAACTAATGAAAGAGGAAAATGGGCAAAATAGATACTAAAGGTAGCTGAAGAGAGTAAAGGAGAAAAAATGAAAAGCATAGAATAATTTGTAGCCTCAAGAACCCGTGCAGAGTAAAAGGGAGGGACCAGACAGGAGGTAGGCATGAAAAGTTCCCCCTCTGTTTTCAGCAATGTCTTCTCTCTTCCAGAGATAAGACAGGCAGACTGATTATTTACTTATTGTGTCTCATTCTGTCACCCATGCTGGAGTGCAATGGCACCATCTTGGCTCACTATAACCTACGCCTCCTGGTTCAAGCAATTCTCCTGCTTCAGCCTCCTGAGTAGCTGGGATTACAGATGTGTGCTAGCACACCCAGCTAATTTTTGTATTTTTAGTAAAGATGGGGTTTTGCCTTGTTGGCCAGGTTGGCCTTGAACTCCTGACCTCAAGTGATCTGCCCTGCCTCGGCCTCCCAAAGTGCTGGGATTACAGGCTTGAGCCACCGTGCCCGGCCAAAGCAAGGCATTCTTTTTTTTTTTTTTTTTTTTTTTTGAGATGGAGTTTCACTCTTGTTACCCAGGCTGGAGTGCAATGGCGGCGCGATCTCGGCTCACCGCAACCTCCGCCTCCTGGGCTCAGGCAATTCTCCCGCCTCAGCCTCCTGAGTAGCTGGGATTACAGGCACGCGCCACCATGCCCAGCTAATTTTTTGTATTTTTTTTTTTTTTTTTTTTTTTTTTTTTTTTGAGACGGAGTTTCGCTCTTGTTACCCAGGCTGGAGTGCAATGGCGCGATCTCGGCTCACCGCAACCTCCGCCTCCCGGGCTCAGGCAATTCTCCTGCCTCAGCCTCCTGAGTAGCTGGGATTACAGGCACGCGCCACCACGCCCAGCTAGTTTTTTGTATTTTTAGTAGAGACGGGGTTTCACCATGTTGACCGGGATGGCCTCGATCTCTCGACCTCGTGATCCACCCGCCTCGGCCTCCCAAAGTGCTGGGATTACAGTCTTGAGCCACCGCGCCTGGCAATTTTTTGTATTTTTAGTAGAGACGGGGTTTCACCAGGTTGACCAGGATGGTCTCGATCTCTTGACCTCGTGATCCACCCGCCTCGGCCTCCCAAAGTGCTGGGATTACAGGCTTGAGCCACCGCGCCCGGCCTTACAACTGAAGTACACAAACGTCCAAAAAATTCAGCATCTTAAAGGAAGAAAGGGCTACTCTTATTAATCCATTGGACTTTTTTTTTTTTGAAACGGAGTTTTGCTCTTGTTGCCCAGGCTGGAGTGCAATGGCGTGATCTCGGCTCACAGCAACCTCTGCTTCCCAGGTTCAAGCGATTCTCCTGCCTCAGCGTCCTGAGTAGCTGGGATTATAGGCATGTGCCACCACACCCAGCTAATTTTGTATTTTTAGTAGAGATAGGGTTTCTTTTTTTTTTTTTTTTTCTTTGAGACGGAGTTTCGCTCTTGTTACCCAGGCTGGAGTGCAATGGCGTGATCTCGGCTCACCGCAACCTCCGCCTCCTGGGTTCAGGCAATTCTCCTGCCTCAGCCTCCTGAGTAGTTGGGATTACAAGCATATGCCACCATGCCCAGCTGATTTTTTGTATTTTTAGTAGAGACGGGGTTTCACCATGTTGACCAGGATGGTCTCGATCTCTCGACCTCGTGATCCACCCGCCTCGGCCTCCCAAAGTGCTGGGATTACAGGCTTGAGCCACCGCACCCGGCCTAGAGATAGGGTTTCTTCATGTTGGTCAGGCTGGTCTTGAACTCCCGACCTCAGGTGATCCGCCTACCTCAGCCTCCCAAAGTGTTGGGATTACAGAAATAAGCCACCACACTCGGCAATCAGTTAAGACTTTTAAGATCAGAACCTTAACACAAGAAAAATGTAAACAATACAAAGGAACAAAAAATGAGGACTACTTACTCTGTGAAGGAGGCACACTATTTTGCTTGGTATTTGACTTGGATTTATCTGACTCTTGTAGTATCGGTGGCACTTGGGAAGAGCTCTTGTCAGAATCACTTTTTGATAAGGTAACAGATGGCTCGGTAGAAGTATCAGGTGGAAGAGTCTTGACAGGCTATTTTGGGGAAAAAAATCCCAGATTTTTTGGTGAAATTTTCAAATAAAGTTTAAATATCACAGTAATATCAAAAGGTTGTTTAGCAGCAATTCAATACTAATATGGTTTCCAGATAAGCAATGTAACTCATACCTGTCCTCTAGTCATGTAGCCAAATAAATTATCACCTATAATATTTATGAATATATGTTGAGATAAAAATGAAGGTATAAAATTATAAAATATCTACTGAATCTCAAATAGGAATAATTCAATTTTTATAAATTTTCATATTCTTATGTTTCATTATAAACAGGATAATTTTAGGCTGGGCGCAATGGCTCATGCCTGTAATCCCTGGACTTTGGGAGGCTGACGCTGGTGGACCACAAGGTCAGGAGTTCAAGACCAACCTGGCCAATATGGTGAAACCCCATCTCTACTAAAAATACAAAAATTAGCTGGGCATGGTGACATGCACCTATAGTCCCAGCTACTTGGGAGGCTGAGGCAGGAGAATCGCGTTAAACCTGGGAGGTAGAAGTTGCAGTGAGCCAAGATTGTGCCACTGCACTCCAGCCTGGACAAAAGAGCGAGATTCTATCTCAAAAAAAAAAAAAAAAAAAAAAAAAAAAAAGGATAATTATATACTTTTTTTTGAGACAGAGTCTGGCTCTGTGGCCCAGCCTAGCGTGCAGAGACACAAAACAGCTCACTGGATCCTTGACCTCATGGGCTCAAGCAATCCTCCCACTTCAGCCTCCTGAAGCTGGGATTATAGGCATGAACCATTGAGACTGGCTGATTTTACACTTGTTAGCAATTCAAAGGTTGTTGTCCATTTCCACCAACTCAGAACTCCTCAAAAATTTTTGTGAAAAACAGAAAGAAAATAGCTAACTTCTGAACTACCACTAGGTAACAACCCCTAATCTCCTTCCCAACAGGTAAGAATCTCTCAAATAGCAGCAACAACAGCTTCTGTTTCCTACAAGCACTCTGTGGTTACCAGTTCTACTGATTCAAGCAACTGGTAACACTCAGGTCCAAATTTTCAGTGTTTTATCCAGTCTGGTAGTGAAATCACAATGCTTAAGGCAGAGCTTAGATTCTTTTTTTTTTTTTTTCTGAGATGAAGTCTCACTCTGTCACCAGGCTGGAGTAGAGTGGTGCAATCTCAGCTCACTGCAACCTCTGCCTCAAGTTCAAGCAATTCTCTTGCCTCAGCTTCCTAAGTAGCTTGGACTACAGGCAAAAACCAGCATGCCCAGATCCACCAAGTGATTCACCTGCCTCAGCTTCCCAAGTAGCTGAGTCTTGCTTCTCTACAGTCTGGGAGCAGAAAGGAGGTAAAATGATTTGCCTCACTGAGGTATATCTGTTAATAAATGGTTAGGACCTCCTAATAGAAAAAATGTCAGTAATTTGGAGTGCCTTCCAGATGTGAGAGATGAGTAGAAGTAGAAGATCATTTGACCTATTAGCTCTATCTGTGATAATTATCCTGAACATAGAAAGAAGGGTAAATAATGCTTCTCTTACCCCTACTCTTCCAGGCCCCATAGATTCAATAAAGCAAAACGGGACAAAGACACAAGAGGAGGAAATGGTGTGAGCCCAAGTAATTACTAGAATTCCTTCTTCCTATTCTAGGTATCTGAAGTGTGTGTCTGTGTGTGTGTGTGTGTGTGTGTGTGTGTGTGTGTGTGTGTGTGAGAGGAGAGGGAAGGGGAGGGGAGGGGAGGGGAGAGAGAGAGACAGGGTCTCACTCTGTCACCCAGGCTGGTGTACAATAGTGTGATCTCAGTTCACTGCAAACTCCACCCTCTAGGCTAACACAATCCTCTCACCTCAGTTCACTGCAAACTCCACCTCCTAGGCTAACACAATCTTCCCACCTCAGTCTCTCAAGTAGCTGGGACCACAGGTGCACAACACCACACAAAGCTAATTTTTTTGTGTATTTTTGGTAGAGAAGGGGGTTTCACTAGTGTTGCCCAGATTGGTCCCGAACTCCTGAGCTCAAGTGACCTACCCACCTTGACCTCCCAAAGTGCTGGGATTTCAGGCATAAGCTCTCGTGGCCAGCCCTGAAGTTGTATTTATGTCGCCTAGCTTCTTTACCTTTCTTAGTGGTTCCCTATATTTATTTCATGTCCAAAATATCCTTTTCCCCTCTATTCTCTCATTTATCTACATTAAGCCACAGGACGGATCACACATTCTTCGTAAGATGGCTTCTGAAAATGATTTAATATAAAAATGTCACATAGAGACCGGGTGCAGTGGCTCACGCCTGTAATCCCAGCACTTTGGGAGGCCGAGGCAGGTGGATCACTTAAGGTCAGGAATTTGAAACCAGCCTGGCCAACAGGGTAAAACCCCGTCTCTGCTAAAAATAAAAAAATTAGCTGGGGGTGGTAGTGAGCATCTGTAATCCCAGCTACTCAGGAGGCTGAGGCAAGAAAATTGCCTGAACCCAGGAGGCAGAGGTTGCAGTGAGCCAAGATCACATCACTGCACTCCAGCCTGGGCAATAGAGAGAGATTGTCTAAAAAAAAAAAAAAAAAAAAAAAAAAAAATTCAAATAGACCCTTTGCTATTTATTACACACAGACACACAGATTTTTTTTTATGAAGTCACGCAGGCTGGAGTGTAACGGTGCAATTACAGGTCATTGCAGCCTCAATTTCCTGGGCTCAAGTGGTCTTCCCACTCAAGTCTCCCAAGTAGCTGGGACTACAAACTCGCACCACTACACCCAGCTAATTTTTCCATTTTTTTGTAGATACCAAGTCTAGCCATGTTGCCCTGGTTTGTCTCCAACTCCTGGACTCAAGCGATCCTCCCACTTTGGCCTCCCAAAGTGCTGGGATTATAGGCATGAGTTACTGCACCTGGTTGCTATTATATTAAGATTGCAGGCCTTAGAAGGTTCATCATTCAAGAGCCTATAACAAAGTTTTAAACAAATGTTCCATTTTGGGAGGCTGAACCATAGTTATACAATGTACATACGTTGGGGGAAAATGAAACGAATCATATCTTCTCTAAGCCATCTATCCCTTGTATGCCTAGATATTTAAAAGGAGAAAATACAGTAAGTGGTTCCTGATTTCACTACTGATAGTTATGTGACTCTGGGAAAGTTATTCAACTTCTCTACCTTTACTTATAAAATGTCTCTTGGCTTTCTCTTGGGGTTGTTTTGAAGACTAAATTAGTCAATATATTTTAAATGCTTAACAGTGCTTCAACAAAACATTACTTATGATAAAATACTTGAGTCAACAAAACTTTATTATTATTATTATTTTGAGACGGAGTCTCACTCTGTCACCCAGGCTGGAGTGCAGTGGCATGATCTCAGCCCACTGCAACCTCCACCTCCTGGGTTCAAGTGATTCTCCAGCCTCAACCTCGCAAGTAGCTGAGATTACATGTGCCCCGCCACTGTGTCTGGCTAATTTTTGTATTTTTAGTAGAGATGGGGTTTCGCCATGTTGGTCAGGCTGGTCTTGAACTCCTGAGCTGATCTGCCTGCCTCAGCGTCCCAAAGTGCTGGGATTACAGGTGTGAGCCACCTAACCCAGCCAAAACTTCATTATTCCTTTTTTTTTTTTTTTGAGATGGAGCTTCAATCTTTGTTGCCCAGGCTGGAGTGCAGTGGCTCACTGCAACCTCTGCCTCCTGGGTTCAAGCGATTCTCCTGTCTCAGTCTCCTGAGTAACTGGGATTACAGGTGCCTTCTACCATGCCCAGCTAATTTTTGTATTTTTAGTACAGACAGGGTTTCACCATGCTGGCCAGGCTGGTCTCGAACTTCTGACCTCAGGTGATCCACCCGCCTCTGCCTCCCAAAGTGCTGGGATTACAGGCATGAGCCACTGCATCCGGCCAAAACTTTATTATTCTTAAAAATTACCTGGTTATTTTTGACGAGTGCTTCGGCTGGATCACTAGTGCTTATGGTCTTCAAGGAAAAAGCTTTTTCCTGTTTTGGACGGTTTTTAGAGGTATTTGCTGGAAGCTCTTCTCTAATCTCTTTTTCTAATTCTTCTGTGTCCTACAGAGAAAAACAATCTATTAGATTATATAAATCATTCGTTCTTCATTAATTAAAATCTATGGTAGTGTATGCCTGTAACCCCAGCACTTTGGGAGGCTGAGGTGGGTGGTTTGCTTGAGCTCAGAAATTTGAGACCTGTCTGGGCAACATGATGAAACCTTGTTTCGATAAAAATTAGTGTTGTGCACATGTAGTCCCAGTTACTCAGGAGGCTGAGGAGGGAGGACCACTTGAGCCTGAGAGATGGAGGCTGCAGAGAATTGTGATCACATTCAAGGCTGGGTGACTTTGTTTAAAAAACAAAAAACAGCCCGGGCGCGGTGGCTCAAGCTTGTAATCCCAGCACTTTGGGAGGCCGAGATGGGTGGATCACGAGGTCGAGAGATCGAGACCATCCTGGTCAACATGGTGAAACCCCGTCTCTACTAAAAAAATACAAAAAATTAGCTGGGCATGGTGGCACGTGCCTGTAATCCCAGCTATTCAGGAGGCTGAGGCAGGAGAATTGCCTGAACCCAGGAGGGGGAGGTTGTGGTGAGCCGAGATCGCGCCATTGCACTCCAGCCTGGGTAACAAGAGCGAAACTCCATCTCAAAAACAAAAAACAAAAAACAAACAAAACTACAAAAGAACAAAAATTAGCTGGGCATGGTGGTGCATACATGCCTTTAATCCCAGCTTCTCAGGAGGCTGGTGGCACAAGAACTGCTTGAGCCTGGGAGGTGAAGGTTGCAGTGAGCTGAGATCACACCACTGCACTCCAGCCTGGACAACAGAGGGAAACTCTATCTTGAAAAAATCCCACAAAAAAAATAAAAGGCACTTCACTTAATGACTTCAAGGAATAAAATGTTTATACATAAGTTAATTTTCTAGATAAATTAAGCTTACATAGTAAAAACAGCATAGATAGGAAATTCCAATTTTAGCCATGCCACAGTCTGGCTACAAAATCTCAGGGATGGCTAGGTGCAGTGGCTCACCCCTGTAATCCCAGCAGTTTGGGAGGCTGAGGTGGGCAGATTACCTGAGGTCAGGAGTTTGAGACCAGCCTGGCCAACATAGTAAAACACTGTCTCTACTAAAAATGCAAAAATTACCTGGGTGTGGTAGTGCATGCCTGTAATCCCAGATATTCGGGAGGCTGAAGTACGAGAATTGCTTGAACCTGGGAGGCGGAGGTTGCAGTGAGCTGACATCTCACCACTGCACTCTGGCCTGTGCAACACTGTGAAATCCCATCTCTACTAAAAATACAAGAATTAGGCCAGGCATGGTGGCTCATGTTTGTAATCCCAGCACTTGGGAAGCCAAGGTGAGCAGATCGCTTGAGGTCAGGAGTTCAAGACCAGCCTGGCCAACATGGTGAAACCCCATTTCTACTAAAAATACAAAAATTATCTGGTAATGGTGGTATAGGCCTGTAATCCCAGGTACTTGGGAAGCTGATGCAGGAGAATTGCTTGAACCTGGGAGATGGAGGTTGCAGTGAGCCGAGATGGCGCCACTCCAGCCTGGGTGAAAGAGCGAGATCCGTCTCAAAAACAAACACACACCTCAGGGACAAGTCACTTAGTTTCCCCAAGCCTCAGTTTCCTCAACTGTAAAGTAAAATTTGTCCTAGTTTTTTTTTTTTTTTTTTTTTTGAGACAGAGTCTTGATTTGTCACCCAGGCTGGAGTGCAGTGGCATGATCTTGGCTCACTGCAACGTCCGCCTTCTGGGTTCAAGCAATTATCCTGTCTCAGACTCCTGAGTAGCTGGGATTACAGGTGCACACTACCATGCCCGGCTAATTTTTTTTTTTTTTTTTTTTTTTTAGTAGAGACGAGGTTTCACCATTTTGGTCAGGCTGGTCTCGATCTCCTGATCTCGTGATCTGTCCGCCTCAGCCTCCCAAAGTGTTGGGATTACAGGTATGGGCCACTGTGCCAGGCCTTGCCCTAATAATTCTAAAAACCCATACAAGCTTTAAGATTTACATTCTTAGACTTTCAGACTTTTACAAAGTTTCAGTAAAATAATTCTAGAGCACATAATATGCTTAGGTATGTAAAGTAAGCATGAACTAGAATATATTAAATAGAAGCATCATTGTATTCTATCGTTCTTTGGCAAACACATCGATATAAAATGGCTGTTCTTTTTTTTTTTTTTTTTTTGAGACGGAGTTTCGCTCTTGTTACCCAGGCTGGAGTGCAATGGTGCGATCTCGGCTCACCGCAACCTCCGCCTCCTGGGTTCAGGCAATTCCCCTGCCTCAGCCTCCTGAGTAGCTGGGATTACAGGCACACGCCACCATGCCCAGCTAATTTTTTGTATTTTTAGTAGAGACGGGGTTTCACCAAGTTGACCAGGATGGTCTCGATCTCTCGACCTTGTGATCCACCCGCCTCGGCCTCCCAAAGTGCTGGGATTACAAGCTTGAGCCACCGCGCCCGGCCATGGCTGTTCTTTTTAACAAATGGCCAAGATGATCATAATGTTCTTCTGATACTGATGTTCTATTCTATGATACTTATTCAGGATAGTAGTGGGTTTAGATAGTCAAAATTTTCTATGAATTTAGGCTGAGCAGGTAGCTTTGGAAGTATGTGTGTGAAGTGTATAATCTTACAAAGTTTTTCAAAGGTTTGCAATTTTTTTTTAAATTGCATTTTAGGTTTTGGGGTACATGTGAAGAACATGCAAGATTGTTGCATAGGTACACACATGGTAGCGTGATCTGCTGCCTTCCTCCCCTTCACCTATATCTGGCATTTCTCCCCATGCTCTCTCTCCCCACCTCCCCACCCCACCGTCCCTCCCACATTTCCCCCCAATAGACCCCAGTGTGTAGTGCTCCCCTCCCTGTGTCCATGTGTTCTCATTGTTCAACACCTGCCTATGAGTGAGAACATGCGGTGTTTGATTTTCTGCTCTTGTGTCAGTTTGCTGAGAATGATGGTTTCCAGGTTCATCCATGTCCCTACAAAGGACACGAACTCATCGTTTTTGACGGCTGCATAATATTCCATGGTGTATATGTACCACATTTTCCCTGTCTAGTCTATCATCAATGGGCATTTGGGTAGGTTTGCAATCTTACAAAGTCAGAAGACATCAATTTATTTCCATCCGAAGTTAAACTAAACAGTGAAAGACCCTATCAGTCACACACCAACACTAAAAAGGACTTTGGGTCTGGCGCAGTAGCTTGCATCTGTAATCCCAACACTTTGGAAGCCAAAGCAGGAGGACTGCTTGAGCCCAGGAGTTTGGGGTAGCCTGGGTAGCATAGGGAAACTCTGTCTCTACAAAAAAAGAAAAAAAGGTGGGCGTGGTGGCTCACGCCTATAATCCAAGCACTTTGGAGGCAAAGGCAGGCGGATCATCTGAGGTAGGGAGTTCAAGACCAGCCTGACCAACATGGTGAAACCCCATCTTAAAAAATAATAATAATAATAAAGAAAAAAGAAAAAAATAAAGAAAAAAAATTTTAGCTGGGTGTGGTGGTGCCTGCCTGTAGTCCTAGTTGCCTGGGAGGCTGAGGCAGGAGGATCCCTTGAGCCCAGGAAGTCAAGGCTGCAGTAAGCTCTGATGGAGCCATTGCATTCCAGCCTGGCAACAGAGTGGAATGTCTTAAAACAAAACAAAACAAAACAAAAAGAGAAAAAACAAAATACAATATAACCTTTTATGAATAGGATATATGTGCTATATACTCAGCATAAAACGTCATGGATATCTAATTTAATTCTCAAAACAACCTATGCAGTTATGTAACTTGTACAAGGTAAAAAAGAATGACAGAATACAGATCTGACTCTAAACCTAGAACACATATTCATTATATTTGTAAAAACACAGGAAACATTTTAAAAAAGGATAATCACAGACATATTCACGTTGATGACCTCTGCCAATATGTTAAACATTTCAGAATACATCTATTCTACAAAATTTCTTTTTTTTTTGGAGACAGAGTTTCGGTCTTGTTACCCAGGCTGGAGTGCAATGGCGCGATCTCGGCTCACCGCAACCTCCGTCTCCTGGGTTCAGGCAATTCTCCTACCTCAGCCTCCCAAAGTGCTGGGATTACGCGTGAGCCACTGCGCCCAGCCAAAATTTCTTTTAAAAAGGAACTGAACTAATCCACAATCCACAAAATTATTATTAATAAGTAAGTCAAAGAAATTAAAGAAAAACTTGGCTAAAATGGTTCTCAGGTAGTATTACTAACAAAGGATAAATGTCTCATCTGCCAGCTCCAGCTAACAAGAAAAGCATACCTATTTATAGCTACAGTTTGTTCATTAGCATTGATCTTAGTTACTTTACAACCTTAATGTCCATCCATTTTTACTACTGAAAAAGCAAGCTAGTATTGATAATAAGCTCATATCATTTATGAGGGTGTGTGTTTCCCACAATAAAAAAAAAAAGATAGATATTTCCTTAAAAAGCCATGTAGAGCGGCCGGGCGTGGTGGCTCAAGCCTGTAATCTCAGCACTTTGGGAGGCCGAGGCGGGTGGATCACGAGGTCGAGAGATCGAGACCATCCTGGTCAACATGGTGAAACCCCGTCTCTACTAAAAATACAAAAATTAGCTGGCATGGTGGCGCGTGCCTGTAATCCCAGCTACTCAGGAGGCTGAGGCAGGAGAATTGCCTGAACCCAGGAGGCGGAGGTTGCGGTGAGCCGAGATCGCGCCATTGCACTCCAGCCTGGGTAACAAGGGCGAAACTCCGTCTCAAAAAAAAAAAAAAAAAAAAAGCCATGTAGAAACTTCTTCCAAAAACAGTTAAGTGCCTGGGTGTGGTGCCTTATGCCTGTAATCCCAGCACTTTGGGAGGCCGAGGTGGGGGAATCACTTGAGGCCAGATCACTTACACCAGCCTGGCTAACATGGCAAAATCCTGCCTCTACTAAAAATACAAAAGTTAGCCAGGCATGGTGGCATATACCTGTAATCCCAGCTACTTGGGAAGCTGAGGCAGGAGAACTGCTTGAACCCTGGAGACAAAGGCCACAGTGAGCTGAGATCACATCACTGCACTCCAGCCTAGGCAACAGAGCAAGACTCTGTCTCAAAAAATAATAAAATAAAATAAAATAAATAAACAAATAGAACAAAAGGTGTCTCCTGCATTTAATTAATTAATTACATACTTATAGTAAGGAATACAAATATTTTAGTAAGTTATAATGTAACAGTAGTAGTGCTTTAAAAACATCTATGCATGTTTCTAATAATATAATACATTTGAAATTAAAACATCTTTTTTTTTGAGACAGGGTCTCACTCTGTCACCCAGGCTGGAATATGCCATGATTTTGGCTCACTGCAAGATCTACTTCCTGGGTGCAAATGACTCTCTCATCTCACCTCAGCTTGCTGAGTAGCTGGGGCTACAGGGGTGTGCCACCATGGCTGGCTAATTTTTGTAGAGACAGGGTTTTGCCATGTTGCCCAGGCTGGCATCTAACTCCTGGACTGAAGTGATCCTCCCGCCTTAGCCTTCCAAGGTGCTGGGATTACAGGCATGAGCCACCATGCCCAGCTTAAAATTCCATCTTTGATTTTATCTTTACTATAATTTAGTTTTTCACCCCCCAAGATAGGCGAGACCAACGGAAAAGAAAGAAAAGAAAATGTATGAGTGATGGAAAGACAAAATGTCTGTTGAGTAGATAACAAAAAGTCAGGAAAGATACTAAGTGACATAACCGGTAAACTCAAAGTCAAGTAAAAGACTCCATTTGTTATACATAGGGTTTCTTTTTTTTTTTTTTTTTTTTTTTTTGAGATGGAGTTTCGCTCTTGTTACCGAGGCTGGAGTGCAATGGTGCGATCTCGGCTCACCGCAACCTCTGCCTCCTGGGCTCAGGCAATTCTCCTGCCTCAGCCTCCTAAGTAGCTGGGATTACAGGCATGCACCACCACGCCCAGCTAGTTTTTTTGTATTTTTAGTAGAGACGGGGTTTCACCATGTTGACCAGGATGGTCTCGATCTTTCGACCTCGTGATCCACCCGCCTCGGCCTCCCAAAGTGCTGGGATTACAGGCTTGAGCCACCGCGCCCGGCCGGGTTTGTTTTTTTTTTTTTTTAGGGTTTTTCTATTTGTGCTAAATGTTACCTTCCAGTCACTCAAAAGGAATTTTTGTATATGTAAAATACTGTATCTCTTTTCCCATTTCACCATTATATAATAAAAAATGCAGCCAGGCAAGGTGGCTCATGCCGGTAATCCCAGCACTTTGGGAGGTGGAGGTAGGCAGATCATGAGGTCAGAACTTCGAGATCAACCTGGTCAATATGGCAAAATCCCATCTCTAAAAAAGTGCAAAAATTAGCCGGGCAAGGTGGCACATGCCTGTAATCCCAGCTACTTGGTAGACAGAGGCAGGAGAATCACTTGAACCCAGGAGGTGAAGGTTGCAGTGAGCCAAGATTGCGCCACTGCACTCCAGCCTGGGCAACAGAGCGAGACTCCAACTCAAAAAAAAAAAAAAAGTATGAAAAATTTGGAATTCTACTTATTTTTGAGTTTAGCAACACCTTTATATGAATTTTTTGAGCAATAACATTTTTATTATATGATATACTAAATATGATAAACAGTCTATGACTTTTAAATAAACATGGTGTCTCATACTGTCTTTTATCTCTATATATAATTCTTAGCATTTATACAACATCTTTTCACATTTTAAGCAGGAGGTGCTTAATGAATGCTTGTTGTTTTGCTATTTTACCTGTGCATGAGAGTTATCTTCACCTTGCTTCTTCTTTTTCTTTTTTTTCTTTTTAGATTTCCCAGTTGGAAGAGCTCCCTCTCCCTTTTCTTTATCATCATCTGAGACCTTAGGTTAAAAGCAAAAATATTAAAGAGAACCAAATGGTTACGTTTCCATTATTTAGAAAATTATTATGAAATAATTTCATTCATTAAGTTGTCTTCAATTTCTGAAATCCAAATAAAAACTAGTAATAATAAAACTGATCAAGAACTACATATTTAGGCCGGGCGCGGTGGCTCACGCCTGTAATCCCAGCACTTTGGGAGGCCGAGGCGGGTGGATCACAAGGTCGAGAGATCGAGACCATCCTGGTCAACATGGTGAAACCCCGTCTCTACTAAAAATACAAAAATTAGCCGGGCATGGTGGCGCATGCCTGTAATCCCAGCTACTCAGGAGGCTGAGGCAGGGGAATTGCCTGAACCCAGGAGGCGGAGGTTGCAGTGAGCCAAGATCGCGCCATTGCACTCCAGCCTGGGTAACAGGAGCAAAACTCCATCTCAAAAAAAAAAAAAAAAAAAAAAAAAAAAAGAACTACATATTTAAAAAATAGCAAAATACATGGAACCTCATTCAGTGTGTCTATGTTACCCATCACTCACTACAACATAATTAGAGAGCTGTGCAAACTTTGGTGTTTAAAAACTCACCAAAAGGCCGGGCGTGGTGGCTCAAGCCTGTAATCCCAGCATTTTGGGAGGCTGAGGCGGGTGGATCATGAGGTCAAGAGATCGAGACCAACCTGGTCAACACAGTGAAACCCCGTCTCTACTAAAAATACTAAAAATTAGCTGGGCATGGTGGCGTGTGCCTGTAATCCCAGCTACTCAGGAGGCTGAGGCAGGAGAATTGCCTGAACCCAGGAGGCGGAGGTTGCGGTGACCTGAGATCGCACCATTGCACTCCAGCCTGGGCAACAAGAGTGAAACTCCGTCTCAAAAAAAAAAAAAAAAACAAAAACTCACCGAATAGGTAATTCTATTTTATTCTAAAGTTCAAATGTAGTGCAATTTGGATTCAAATTTATCTGACACTGTTAAAAGAATGAAATGACAGGCTACACAATGGGGGAAAATATTTGCAAGCCATATAGTTCCATCCACGGAACTAGTATCCATACAATATAAGGAACACTCAAGTTTAAAAAAAAAAAAAATCCCCTTAGAAAACATGCAAAAGACATGAACACACATTTCACTCAAGAACATACATAGATGGCAATGAAACATATGGAAAAAAGCTTAACTCCATTTGCTATTAGGGAAATGCAGATTAAAGCCACAATGTGTTATCACTATACACCTATTAGAACTGCTAAAATAAAAAACAGTGACTACTGCAAATTTAGGTAAGGATACAGAAAAAACAGTTTCTTAGAATATTAAAATATGCAACTACCATAATACCCAGCGACTGTACTTTTGGGCATTTATCCTAGAGTAATGAAAACTACGTTTAGCCAGAAACTTCTGAAAACCTACATATTTTGTGGTTTTATTCACAATAGTCCCAAACTAGAAAGGACCCAAATGTCCTTCAACAGGTAAACGGTTAAAGAAACTGAGGTACATCCAGATCACGGGATATCACTCAGCAGTAAAAAGGTACAGACTACCAACACATTCAAAAACCTGGATGAATCTCCAGAGAATTACTTTGAATGGAAAAAAAAAAAAATAGCAAGGCCAGGTGCAGTGGCTGAAGCCTGTAATCCCAGCACTTTGGGATGCCAAGGCGGGTAGATCCCCTGATGTCAGGAGTTTGAGACCAGCCTGACTAATATGGTGAAACCCCTGCTGTACTAAAAATACAAAAATTAGACGAGCATGGCAGCATGCGCCTGTAACCCCAGCTACTCAGGAGGCTGAGAAGGAAGAATTGCTTGAACCTGGGAGGCGGAGGTTGCAGTCAGCTGAGATAATGCCGCTGTACTCCAGCCTGGGTGACAGAGCAAGATTCCATCTCAAACAGCCATACCAAAAGGTTATTATGTGTACGTGTATATATTTTATAATTCCATTAATAAAACATTCTTGAAATGATACATGTTCTGTATCTTGATTGCATCAATGTCAACAGGCCAGTTGTGATAAGTAGTCCCCCCTTATTCACAGTTTGCCTTCTGCAGTTTCAGTTACCTGCGGTCAACCTCAGTCTGATATTAGAGAAAGTGAGAGATCACATTCATATAACTTTTATTACAGTACATTTTATAACTGCTCTATTTTATAATTACTGTTAACCTTTTCCTATGACTAACTTACAAATTAAATTTTATAAGAGATATGTATAGGAAAAAGCATAGTATATGTAGGGTTTGATACTAACTGTGGTTTCAGCCATCTAGTGGGAGTCTTGCATTGTATCCCCCTGTGTATAAGTGGGGGTGGGGGTTGGGGGTGGGGATGGCTACTGTGCTACTGTATAGTACTACAGTTTTTTTTTTTTTTTTTTTTTTTAGACGGAGTTTCGCTCTTGTTACCCAGGCTGGAGTGCAATGGCGCGATCTCAGCTCACCGCAACCTCCGCCTCCTGGGCTCAGGCAATTCTCCTGCCTCAGCCTCCTAAGTAGCTGGGATTACAGGCACGCGCCACCACGCCCAGCTAGTTTTCTGTATTTTTAGTAGAGACAGGGTTTCACCATGTTGACCAGGATGGTCTCGATCTCTTGACCTCGTGATCCACCCGCCTCGGCCTCCCAAAGTGCTGGGATTACAGGCGTGAGCCACCGTGCCCGGCCTAGTTTTTTTTTTTTAGATGAAGTCTTGCACTGTCATCCAAGCCAGAGTGCAGTGGCACGGTCTCGGCTCACTGCAACTTCCGCCTCCAGGGTTCAACTGATTCTTTGCCTCAGTCTTCCAAGTAGCTGGGATTACAGGTGTCTGCCACCAAGCTCAGCTAATTTTTTTGTATTTTTAGTAGAGAAGAGGCTTCACCATCTTGGTCAGGCTGGTCTTGAACTCCTGACCTTGTGATCTACCTGCTCAGCCTCCCAAAGTGCTGGGATTACAGGCATGAGCCACTGCGCCCAGCAACACTAATAGTTTTTTTTTTTTTTTGAGACAGAGTTTCACTTTTGTTACCCAGGGTGGAGTGCAATGGCGCGATCTCGGCTCACCACAACCTCCACCTCCTGGGTTCAGGCAATTCTCCTGCCTCAGCCTCCTGAGTAGCTGGGATTACAGGCACGCACCACCATGCCCAGCTAATGTTTTGTATTTTCAGTAGAGGCAGGGTTTCACTATGTTGACCAGGATGGTCTCGATCTCTTCACCTTGTGATCCACCCACCTCGGCTTCCCAAAGTGCTGGGATTACAGGCTTGAGCCACCACGCCTGGCCCACACTAATAGTTTATTAACATGCTACCACACTGGGGAAAACTGTGTAAAAGGAGTACAGAGGATCACTCTGTTTTATTCCTGTTTGAGACAGGGTCTTGCTCTGTTGCCCACGCTGGAGAGCAGTGGTGCTATCAAGGCTCACTGCAGCCTTGACCTCCTGATCCTCTTGCCTTAGCCACCTGAGGAGCTGGGACTACAGGCTGATTTTTTTTTTTTCTCTTAAAAAAGAAATATTCAAGATAGGGGCTTACTATGTTGTACAGGCTAGTCTCAATCACCTGGGCTCAGGTGATCTTCCTATCTTGGGCTCTGGAAGTGCTGTGATAACAAGCATGAGCCACTGTGCCTGGCCTGTATTATTTCTTCTAACTGCATTTAAATCTAGAATTATCTCAAAATAAAAGGCTTAACTTAAAAAAATGAATTTGAAAAGAAACATCATTGAAAATAGCATTCTGCAGGACAAAAAAATACCTATCAAGTTAACACTGTTATGTTAGTATTCATAATGATGCAGAGGCCATACAAGATTCTCTGTATCTTGTCTATTTTTTTTTTTTTTTTTTTTTTTGAGATGGAGTTTTGCTCTTGTTGCCCAGGCTAGAGTGCAATGGTGAAATCTTGGCTCATCACAACCTTTGCCTCCCAGGTTTAAGCAATTCTCTAGCCTCAGCCTCCCGAGTAGCTAGGACTACAAGCATGCACCACCACGCCCGGTTAATTTTGCATTTTTAGTAGAGATGGAGTTTCTTCATGTTGGCCAGGCTGGTCTTGAATTCCCAAACTTAGGTGATCCTCCCACCTCAGCCTATGGTGCTGGGATTACAGATGTGAGCCACTGCACCTGGCCACTTTTTTTTTTTTAGGTAGTCTCACTCTGCTGTTCAGGCTAGAGTGAAGTGGCTCACTGCAACCTCTGCCTCTTGGGTTCAAGCAAGTCTTGAGCCTCAGCCTCCTGAGGTTGGGATTACAGGCACGTGCCACCATGCTCAGCTCATTTCTTTTTGTATTTTAGGTAGGGATGCGGTTTCGTCATTTTGGCCAGGCTGGTTTCAAACTCCCAACCCTGGGTGATCCGCCCACCTCAGCCTCCCAAAGTGCCGGGATTATGGGTGTGCAGCCACTGTGCATGGTCTCAAGTTTAGTGTATGTGCTGCCAAAGTGAGCACTGTAGTTTGTGTGTTTTTTTTTTTTTTTTTTTTGTGAGAGAGTTGCATTCTTGTTGACCAGGTTGGAGTGTAATGACACAATCTTAGCTCACTGCAACCTCTACCTCCCTGGTTCCAGTGATCTTCCTGCTTTAGCCTCCTGAGTAGCTGGGAGGCATGTACCACCATGCCCAGTGGATTTTTTTTTTTGTATTTTTTAGTAGAGATGGGGTTTCACCATGTTGGTCAGGCTGGTCTGGAACCCCTAATCTCAGATGATCTGCCCAGCCTCAGCCTCCCAAAGTGCTGAGATTACAGGCATGAGTCGCTGCGTCCAGCCAGAATTGGTCTTTAAAACAGGATATAGTACTAATGGTAGCAGGAGGGGCAAATAAATGCAGAGGGGACAGCTGACAGGCAATATGAAAGTCAACAGCAGAAAAAAGGGTTTTAGGGGCCGGGCGTGGTGGTTCACGCCTGTAATCCCAGCACTTTGGGAGGCCGAGACGGGTGGATCATGAGGTCAAGAGATCGAGACCATCCTGGTCAACATGGTGAAATCCCGTCTCTATTAAAAATACGAAAAATTGGCCGGGCGCAGTGGCTCACGCCTGTAATCCCAGCACTTTGGGAGGCCGAGGCGGGTGGATCACGAGGTCAAGAGATGGAGACCATCTTGGTCAGCAAGGTGAAACCCCGTCTCTACTAAAAATACAAAAATTAGCTGGGCATGGTGGCGCACGCCTGTAGTCCCAGCTACTAGGGAGGCTGAGGCAGGAGAATGGCTTGAACCCAGGAGGCGGAGGTTGCGGTGAGCCAAGATCGCGCCATTGCACTCCAGCCTGGGTAACAAGAGCGAAACTCCGTCTCAAAAAAAAAAAAAAAAAAGGGTTTTAGACTGGACCTACAAAAAGGCTTCTTAATACAATATCTTAATACGTAACACCTTACTACATAGTAATCATTCAGATGTTTTTTGGACATTTAACACATAAAACCCATGAAAGGAGTTTAAAGACTTTATCATGCATCATAGGAATTCTTTTTCTAAATATATTCAGAAATTATCTTTTTTTTTTTTTTTTTTGAGATGGAGTTTCGCTCTTGTTACCCAGGCTGGAGTGCAATGGCGCGATCTCGGCTCACCGCAACCTCCGCCTCCTGGGCTCAGGCAATTCTCCTGCCTCAGCCTCCTGAGTAGCTGGGATTACAGGCATGTACCACCACGCCCAGCTAAGTTTTTTTATATTTTTAGTAGAGACGGGGTTTCACCATGTTGACCAGGATGGTCTCGATCTCTCGACCTCGTGATCCACCCGCCTCGGCCTCCCAAAGTGCTGGGATTACAGGCTTGAGCCACCGCGCCCGGCCCAGAGATTATCTTTTACATTTCTTTTTAGTCTGTTTTTGTTATTGTATCTTGTACATTTCTAAGCAAAGTGAGCTGTCATCAAAATGTTTTTCAGTTGGGGAATGGAAAGATGTCATATGTTTATACAATGGCATATTAGAAGTTAAAAATGAACGAAAACTACACTATTAGCATTACAAATAGAATCTCAAAAACATGCTGAATGAGCAAGTTATAGAAAGATAGAATATGTCATTTATGTAACTTTTACATGTGGATACAAATAAATTTATAGAAAAATTGATTGGATAGACAAAGAAGCTGTTCACAATTTTGGTTACTACTAGGAAAGCAGTATGAATATGGGACTGGGAAGCAGTATAAGGGAATTTGAAATTTATCAGTAATGTCCTTTTTATTTAAAGATTTAATATACATTTATCAAAATCTCAACTCTTTCATGGGAGTTAAAAGATGTGGAGATGCCGGGCGCGGTGGCTCAATCCTGTAATCCCAGCACTTTGGGAGGCTGAGGCGGGTGGATCATGAGGTCAAGAGATCGAGACCATCCTGGTCAATACGGTGAAACCCCGTCTCTACTAAAAATACAAAAAATTACCTGGGCATGGTGGCACGTGCCTGTAATCCCAGCTACTCAGGAGGCTGAGGCAGGAGAATTGCCTGAACCCAGGAGGTGGAGGTTGCGGTGAGCCGAGATCGCGCCATTGCTCTCCAGCCTGGGTAACAAGAGCGAAACTCCGTCTCAAAAAAAAAAACAAGATGTGGCGTTGATTTCAGCATCTTCCCATTAATGAAAATACTGTTTTGCCATGGGGAACTACATTTCTTGTGTGACTGGCTTATAATGAAGTGATAAGCTGACTGCAGAAGGTCCTTGTGACCTGAGTATCATTCATGAGATGTATCTACTCATATGGGATTTTAATCATTACAAGACCTTGACACAGTTTATGGACATTTCTCCACAACTGGAAGCCAGCTAGCCTAGACTGAAAATCTCTTAGCTAACTTTGTGCCAGATTTTGTTTTGTTTTTTCCATCTCATTGGAATTTTTTTTTTTTTTTTTTTTGAGACGGAGTTTCGCTCTTGTTACCCAGGCTGGAGTGCAATGGCGCGATCTCGGCTCACCGCAACCTCCGCCTCCTGGGCTCAGGCAATTCTCCTGCCTCAGCCTCCTGAGTAGCTGGGATTACAGGCATGCACCACCACGTCCAGCTAGTTTTTTTGTATTTTTAGTAGAGACGGGGTTTCACCATGTTGACCAGGATGGTCTCGATCTTTCGACCTCGTGATCCACCCGCCTCGGCCTCCCAAAGTGCTGGGATTACAGGCTTGAGCCACCGCGCCCGGCTCATTGGAATTTCTGTAAGCTATTTGGTAGTTTGAGAGACTACCAAAATCATCATAATAACTACAGTGCTGAGTAGAGAAACAGCAGTTACTTAGATCATCTCTTCCTCTGAAGATAGTCTAGGAATCTAGGTTGTCATTTGTGAGAGTAAACAAAAAGCACCTTTCCACAGAAAGTTAAATTACATTGTTCACAGGCTGGATGGATCACTTGAGGTCAGGAGTTTGAGACTAGCCTGTCCAACATGGCAAAACTCCATCTCTATTAAAAATACAAAAATTAGCTGGGCACGGTGATGCATGTCTGTAATCCCAGCTACTTGAGAGGCTGAGGAAGAAGAATCGCTTGAACCTGGGAGGTGGAAGTTGCAGTGAGCCAAGATCGTGCCACCATACTTCAGCCTGGGAGACAGAGCGAAACTCCATTTAAAAAAAAAAAAAACAGGCTGGTGCAGTGACTCCCGCCTGTAATCTCAGCACTTTGGGAGGCCGAGGCGGGTGGATCATGAGGTCGAAAGATCGAGACCATCCTGGTCAACATGGTGAAACCCCGTCTCTACTAAAAATACGAAAAAACTAGCTGGGCATGGTGGTGCATGCCTGTAATCCCAGCTACTTAGGAGGCTGAGGCAGGAGAATTGCCTGAGCCCAGGAGGCGGAGGTTGCGGTGAGCCGAGATCGCGCCATTGCACTCCAGCCTGGGTAACAAGAGCGAAACTCCGTCTCAAAAAAAAAAAAAAAAAAAAAAAAAATACAACCCCTAGGCCAGGTGTGGTGGCTCACGCCTGTAATCCAAGCACTTTGGAGGCCAAGGCGGGTGGATCACCTGAGGTCGGGAGTTCAAGACCAGCCTGACCAACATGGTGAAACCCAGTCTTTAAAAATAAATAAATAAATAAATAATAAAAATTAAATACAACCCCCACAAGCCCAGCAAAACCATTCCTCATACCATGTGTTGGAAAGAAGGGAGGGAGGGAGGGAGGGAAGGAAGGAAGGAAGACTGCTGAGCCTACACCAAAATCTCCCCTATCAATAAAATACAACCCCCATAACTTCAGCAAAACCATTGCTGATATCACGTATTGCTATTATCCACTATCTCTCTTGCATTCCTATCCAAACTTACTAGCACTTTTTTTTTTGAGAGTCTTGCTCTGCTGCCCAGGCTGGAGTGCAGTGGTGTAGTCTCAGCTCACTGCAACCTCCATCTCCCAGGTTCAAGCAATTTTCCTGCCTCAGCCTCCCCAGTAGCTGAGATTATAGGCATGCACCACCACACCCAGCTAATCTTTTTTTAATTTTTTAATTTTTATTTTTTGTTAAAATATAGACGGAGTTTCACCATGTTGGTCAGGCTGGTCTTGAACTTCTGACCTCAGGTGATTCACCTGCCTTGACTTCCAAAGAGCTTGAATTACAGGCGTGAGCCAGTATTTTTAGTAGAGACGAGGTTTCACCATGTTGGCCAAGCTGATCTTGAATTCCTGAACTCAGGTGATCTATCCACCTCGGCCTCCCAAAGTGCTGGGATTACAGGCTTCAGCCACCGTACCTGGCCTGTTATTAGCACTTGTATTCCTCATTCACTCAATTTACTGCAATGCAATTTCTATTCCAGAAATTTTAATGAAACTGTTCTAAATTACTGGAAAGCAAATTCAATAATATTTTTCAGTCCTGCTGTTACTAATTGGTTTGCTGTTTCTGATGCTGTTGATTATTGTCTCTCCGACCCTCTCAATTGTGTCAGCCTCTGTGACCCAGAATTCTCCTTCAGTTGCTTTAATTTATAAGTAGAGATGGGGGTCTCACTATGTTGCCAAGGCTGGCCTTGAACTCCTGGGTTCAAGCAATCCTCCTGCTGCAGCCTTCCAAAGTGGTGGCATTATAGGCGTTGAGCCACCATGCCCAGCCTGTCTCTTCCATTAACAAATAAACACCCAGCAATCTCTCATACTCACCTTTTGATCCTCAGGAATTGGTTCCTGGGACTTTAGAAGTGAAGCTCTTTCTTCATCTACCCAATTGCCCCACTCTTCTGCTGGTGCATTCCAATCAGAGTTGGGATCAGCAGAAGACAGACCATCTAAAATTCAACAGTGTGAATTAGGCGTCTTGTCATTTTTGCCATCAAGTAAAAGGCAAAAACTAAAAATTCCTTACGTTTAACTAAGCTGTAATTTTAAGCTATTGTTCTGTACGAGCCAGAAAAAAAAACAACATGAAGGTAACAATCTTTATTCAACTTCTGCTAGGCATACATATTGGTAAGTGGAATTTCTAAGAAGTTCCAGAAAATTTCTTAGCCATTTGATTTCACTCTTTCTGCTTCCTTTGTTATCAGTTTTCTAAATTTCTTTATCCATTTTTAACTTGTTCTAGGACCTGCTTGTTTTCTCCTCTGATTATTACAATATTTTTGTAATTATTTTCTAGGGTACAGAATTAATTCTTTTTTTTTTTTTTTTTTTTTTTTTGAGACGGAGTTTCGCTCTTGTTACCCAGGCTGGAGTGCAATGGCACGATCTCGGCTCACCGCAACCTCTGCCTCCTGGGTTCAGGCAATTCTCCTGCCCCAGCCTCCTGAGTAGCTGGGATTACAGGCACGCGCCACCATGCCCAGCCATTTTTTTGTATTTTTTTTAGTAGAGACGGGGTTTCACCATGTTGACCAGGATGGTCTCGATCTCTTGACCTCGTGATCCACCCGCCTCGGCCTCCCAAAGTGCTGGGATTACAGGCTTGAGCCACCGCGCCCGGCTCAGAATTAATTCTTAACAGCAGTACCAAAATTATACTCCCTACTTGCCATTTTATACTACACCTCTCCTATCCTTAAATGCTTTTCAAAATTAGGTTCTTCAGATTCACCAAGTCATGACAATATTCAATCTCTTATTTTTCTCCCCCTCTTTTAATACTTAACCTGTACCTTCCTATATTTTTCAGATCATTCAATGTGCCTTTTATCCAATCATTTCAAAAGCATTTGAATAACTTTCAGGGCTTCAATCATCATTTATTCTCAAAAATAAATTTTATTCTAGACTTCTAGATCCCTTTCTCTTACTATAGGAGGCACTGGATGATGATGATGATGATGATGATGATGATGATGATGATGATGATTTGAGACAGAGTCTCATTCAAGCGCTAGGCTGGAGTGCAGTGGCACAATCTCGGCTCACTGCAACCTCCGGGAGGCACTGAATTTTTAACTCTTTTAGGAAGCTCTCACTGACTTATTCTAAAAGGAAAAAACAGTCTTTGTCTCTACCCAGGTTAAATAAGTAGCTCTCAAAATTAATTATTCACTTCTTTCCCTGCACATCCTATATATACTCCTGAAGGAAAAAACAGTCTTTGTCTCTACCCAGGTTAAATAAGTAGCTCTCAAAATTAATTATTCACTTCTTTCCCTGCACATCCTATATATATTCCTGTAAATCTACTTATAGTCAGGTTTAATTTACAATGGTTTAAGATGACAAAGGTTAGGCTTTATTTCCAAATGGTTAACAAGTTCTCCCAACACTGCTTAACTGAAAAATCCAATCATTTCCCACTAATACCTAATGCTACTCTTATCAAATACTCAATTTTTCCCCCTTCCAGGGCCGCCAAGATGGAGTCTTGCTCTGCCCCCCAGGCTGGAGTGCAGTGGTGCACATCTTGGCTCACTGTAACCTCCGCCTCCCGAGTTCAAGCTATTCTCCTGCCTCAGCCTCCCAAGTAGCTGAGATTATAGGCACATGCCACCACGCCCAGGTAATTTTTGTATTCTTAGTAGAGACAAGGTTTCACCATGTTGGCCAGGCTGGTCCTCAACTCTTGACTTTGTGATCCACCTGCCTTGGCCTCCCAAAGTGCTGGGATTATAGGCGTGAGCCACTACACCCAGCTTTATTCAATTCTTTCTTTTACATGCACTTCAGTCTGTTTCTGGAATTTCTATTCTATTCCACTGATCTATTCCTGGGATAGTGCTACACATAACTCTGTAAAACATTTTTCTGTATCTAGAAGGACAAATCTTTTTGCATTATTTTAATTTACTTTTTGCTAATATTTTTCCAGGTGAACTCTCTTATTGTTTTTGCTTAACAGGAAGGTATAATATATTTTTATGAAGGTTTTAAAACCTGTATTTTGGAAGAATATATAACAATCTGGGAAAATGCTCACAGAAAAAAAATCATAGACAAAATTATCCACACAGTATGATCTCAAATTTATATGAGGAAGAGACAAAATAAAACATTATATATATAAGTAAAACATTATATATAAAAAATGTTTTATTTTCTTTTGTCTCTTATTAAATTACATATATATGTGTGTGTGTGTGTGTGTGTGTGTGTGTGTGTGTGTGTGTGTGTATATATATATATAAAATTTAAGAGAGAGAGTCTTATTCTGTCACCCAGGATGGAATGCAGTGGTATAATCATAGTTCACTGCAGCCTTAACCTCCTGGGACTCAAGTGATACTTCTGCCTCAAGCTCCCAAGGATCTGGGACCATAGGCATGTGCCACCATGCCTAATTTTTGCATTTTTTTGTAGAGATGAGGTATCATCATACAGGTTGGAATAATAAATATATTTTAATAGTGGAATTACGTCTATCCAATCCTTTATTAAGCACTTACTATATGCTAGAACTTGAGCTAGGTAGGTACTAGAGATACAAAAATAAGTAAAACAGAATCCCCCCGCAAGTGCAGCTCATAGTCTGTCTATCCAGGGGTGAAGATAGGTAAGTATAACAAACAATTAAATACAGAGTAATAGATTCTGCCATGGGGGCTCTGGAAACAAAAGAGAGTAAGCTAGCAGAGGACAGGTAGGGACAACATAAGAATTTATAGTCTATTGGAGGAAAAACATGGAACAGGTGATTACAAGTGTGAAATGTGTTACAAAAAAGGAAGTTCCTTGCTGTATTTCTAAATTCACCACAAAGAGCAGGTATCTGGAATCAGTATTACATAGTAACACAGAGGCGAAGAGCACAGGCCTTCAGGTCAAACAAATACACATTTGAATATTGTTCTACCACTTAATAACAAGGTGATTTTGGTCAAGTTTCTTGTTTTTTGTTTTCTTTTTTGAGATGAAATCTCACTCTACTGCCAGGTTGGAGTGCAGTGGCGCCATCTCAGCTCACTGCAACCTCCACCTCCCGGGTTCAAGCAATTCTTCTGCCTCAGCCTCCTGAGTAGCTGGGACTACAGGTGTGCGCCACCACGCCCAGTCTATTTTTCAGTAGAGCGGGGGTTTCACCATGTTGGCCAAGATGGTCTCGATCTCTTGACCTTGTGATCTGCCCACCTTGACCTCCCAAAGTGCTGAGATTACAGGCCTGAGCCACCTCGCCCAGCCTGGTCAAGTTTCTTTCTTTTTTTTTTTTTTTTGAGCCGGAGTTTTGCTCGTTACCCAGGCTGGAGTGCAATGGCGCGATCTCGGCTCACCGCAACCTCCGCCTCCTGGGTTCAGGCAATTCTCCTGTCTCAGCCTCCTGAGTAGCTGGGGTTACAGGCACGCACAACCAGGCCCAGCTAATTTTTTGTATTTTTAGTAGAGACGGGGTTTCGCTATGTTGACCAGGATGGTCTCGATCTCTTGACCTCGTGATCCACCCGCCTCGGCCTCCCAAAGTGCTGGGATTACAGGCTTGAGCCACCGCGCCCGGTCATAGTTTCTTAATGGGCTCTATTATCAACTTCATAGAATTGCTGAGAGGATTATATGAAATACATGTAAAGCAATTCATGGCAATGCAGTCAGTGCTCAATAAGTGGTAGCTATTGTTTTTATTATCACTGATATTAAAACTATAAGGCATGTATAGCTAAAAATTTATTTTTCACAATTCTGATGAACCTCTCAGTAAGATATACTTCATATGTAAGCTATACTTCAATCTAGTAGATGCCTGGAACCAACTACCCATCTTATACCAAGAATTCATTAATAATACTTCTAGTAGGTTCATATGCCAAGCTATCATTGGCTTTGCTTAAATCTCACAGATAAGAAACACACCCATATTTAGAAAACTGCTGTCCATAAGCCATGTCTCTAAGACTTCTTGCCAGAAAACAAAACTATCAAGTAGAAGAAGATTTAGTCAATTGAATGGGCAGTATACCAACATATCACCCATTTTCTTAATACACGTGATGGTAGGTGGATAAAAAATCGAGTAAAATGCTTATTATTATTATTATTTATTTTTGACAGGGTCTTGCTCTATTGCCCAGGCTGGAGGGCAGTGGCAAGATCACAGAGCACTGTAGCCTCGACTTTTCAGGTTCAAGTGATTCTTCACTTTAGCCTCCTGAGTAGCTGGGACTACAGGCATGGGTACCAGGCCAAGCTAGCTTTTTCTTTTTCTTTCTTTTTTTTTTTTTTTTTTGTAAGAGATGGGGGTCTCACTATGTTGCCTAGGCCGGTCTTGAAAGTGTGGGCTCAAGACATCCTTGCACCTTGGCTTCCCAAAGTGCTGAGATTACAAGTGTGAGCCATGGCACCAGCCTGAGGAACTAATTCTTAAGATTCATAGGCCTAATATACCAAAAATCTTTTTTGAGACAAGTCTAGCTCTGTTGCCCAGGCTGGAGTGCAGTGGTGTGATCTTGGCTCACTGCAACCTCCACCTCCCGGGTTCAAGCAATTCTCCTGCCTCAGCCTCCTGAGAAGCTGGGATTACAGGCACACACCACTACACCTGGCTAATTTTTGAATTTTTAGTAGAGACAGGGTTTCACCATGTTGATCAAGCTGGTCTAGAACTCCTGACCTCCACCCGCCTTAGCCTCCCAAAGTGCTAGGATTACAGGCGTGAGCCACTGTGCCTGGCCACCAAAAAACTTCTCATAGTTCCCTTAAAAATGATTTACAGGCTGGGCGTGGTGACTCAAGCCTGTAATCCCAGCACATTGGCAGGCCAAGGCAGGTGGATCACGAGGTCAAGAGATGGAGACCATCCTGGTCAACATGGTGAAACCCTGTCTCTACTAAAAATACAAAAAAATTAGCGGGGCATGGTGGCATGTGCCTGTAATCCCAGCTACTCCGGAGGCTGAGGCAGGAGAACTGCCTGAACCCAGGAGGCGCAAGTTGCAGTGAGCCGAGATCGTGCCATTGTACTCCAGCCTGGGTAACAAGAGTGAAACTCCGTCTCAAAAAAAAAAAAAAAGATTCACAGTATAGTTTGCTCCAAGTATAAATTATTTCTCATCACTGAAGTTTTCCATTAGTCTGCCAATGTCCTTTTAAAGAGCTATACTGATTTTCTTTATAAAAGGGTAAGGAATTTGTCTCTCCATTTAATTTGCTTGTGGAATAATGTTTTAGGTTTAAGCATCTCATTGCTGGTCTTTATTTATTTATTTATTTATTTTGAGACGAAGTTTCGCTCTTGTTACCCAGGCTGGAGTGCGATGGCGCGATCTCGGCTCACCAAAACCTCCGCCTCCTGGGCTCAGGCAATTCTCCCGCCTCAGCCTCCTAAGTAGCTGGGATTACAGGCACGCGCCACCACGCCCAGCTAGTTTTTTGTATTTTTAGTAGAGACGGGGTTTCACCATGTTGACCAGGATGGTCTCGATCTCTCGACCTCGTGATCCACCCGCCTCGGCCTCCCGAAGTGCTGGGATTACAGGCTTGAGCCACCGCGCCCGGCCATCATTGCTGGTCTTTTATTTGGTTGTCAGCTGTTTCTTGTCAGAACTTAATTCAATGTCAACTTTAATAACTTTTTAACAAAAGAAAACAATTATGTTAGAAAGACATTCTCTAGTGTTTTAACAGACAATATTAGTTAACCACATTGGGTAGACTAATTTTGCCACTAGAAGGATACTAACAGCAGCATTTACTAGATATTTACTATATGTGAGGCAGTGTTCTAAGTGCTTTACATGTATTAACTCATTTAATCTTCTCATCCGTACTGTTGGGGAGGGATTACTATTTTTACAGATGAGAAAATTGAGGCATAGAATAATCATGTAACCAGCATAAGGGCAATGGCACGGAAGTTAAGACTGAAACCCAGGTAGTCTGTCCTGAAAGCTCATACTCTCAACCACTCTGTTAGGCTACAGCTAATTCATTCACTCCTGTATGCCAAGAAAAAGTTTTATTCAACATCTGACTTTTTACATGGGTTACAATGATGCTGTTCTTTTGTGGTCAAGACAGTAATAGATTAACATATGTCTTCAAACCGGAGGGTCAATGTACTAATTATAGTATAACATAAATGTAAATCTAATGTAATATGCTTTGTGGATTAGTAATCTCAAATACTAAATCATTCATTTTAGAAATTCAGAAGTAATAATTAAATTCATTGAGCACTGGGCCGGGCGCGGTGGCTCAAGCTTGTAATCCCAGCACTTTGGGAGGCCAAGGCGGGTGGATCACGAGGTCGAGAGATCGAGACCATCCTGGCCAACATGGTGAAAACCCGTCTCTACTAAAAATACAAAAAATTACCTGGGCATGGTGGCGTGTGCCTGTAATCCCAGCTACTCAGGAGGCTGAGGCAGGAGAATTGCCTGAACCCAGGAGGCGGAGGTTGCGGTGAGCCGAGATCGCGCCATTGCACTCCAGCCTGGGTAACAAGAGCGAAACTCCGTCTCAAAAAAAAAAAAAAAAAAAAAATTCATTGAGCACCAAAAAAACCAGCTGCATTAAAGATGGTGACACAGAAAATAAAATTTACAGAGAAAATATTAAAGAGAAACTTTGGACCTAATACAGCATAGCAAACTTGAGGAAGATGGTGTTCCTGATACATATTACTTTGATTAAGTACAGAATCCTATGCATACATGTTTTAAAAATCTTTTATCTTGGCAGCCAATCATGTTTTTTATATTCAAAGTTATCTTAATATGAATAAAATTAAAAGTGGAGCTACTCTGTCCAAGCAGGAAAGCCTAGAGACCTGACCATTCAATTTTCCTCTGCCTCAACCCACAGCAGCCCAAGATACCTTACCGCCATTTTCCTATAGTCACTCCTATCATCGTTATAATCGCTTCTCAATTCTATTCTGCATATAGCTGGTAATTCTTCCTAAAGCACAGATACAGTTTTTTTCCAAAAATAGTGCTTTCGCATCCTTGTAAAACCTTGGATTTAAATACTTCATACACAGTCAGTCCTGCGTATCCATGGGTTTTCCATTTGTGGATTCAAAAATGTTCGGGGGGAAAAAAATGAATGAATTGTGCCTGTACTGAATATGTAGAGACTTTTTTTTCTTGTCATTATTCCCTAAACAATACAGTATAACACTATTTACACTGCATTCGGTACTATAAGTAATCTAGAGATAATTCAAAGTATATGGGAGGTCATAGGTAGGTTATATGCAAATACTATGCCATTTTATCATAGGGGACTTCAACATCTGCGGATTTCAGTACCTGAGGTGGGTCCTGGAATCAAGCCCCCATGGATACTGAGAGATGACTGTAATTTACAGAGCTTTCATGTTCACCCATTAACTCATTAAAACCTCACAACAACCCATGAAAATAGATATGACAGGTTATTTGCTCGATTTTACAGTTCCCAGATAAGTGACAAAGCCGAACCATGTGAAGTACGACATTTTAGAGTCAGGACTAAAATTCATATTTACTGTCTAAGCTAGTACTGAAAACCGCCAGCTCCCTAATCTTTAGCCACCAATTCAAGGAATGGCATTTCACAATATGGTTCTCCCTGATCTTTCTCCCCTCATCTCCCTTAATCTGTAAGAACTGTGCTTTAACCCCTGTGTTGCCACCTGACCTTGATGATTACTATCATCACCAAGGCTGTACCAGATAGTGGTTAAGAGGATGAACTCTGCAGCCAGACCAGCAAGGTCTGAATACTGCCCTCCTCCCATTTAACTGACTGTGTGACCTGGGGAAAGCTAGAACACTTACCCTTGTCACAGCTTTTTCATCGGAAAAGTGTAAAAACAAATACTTACCACATAGAAATGTTAAGAGCAGTAAATGAGATAATAAAATCCAAAAGACTAAAACCAGTGTCTGGTACATAGTGTTTACTTTCACCAGTGTTTACTTTTACTGTTATTATTATTATTACTATGAGCACCTATTTTTAAGGGCCTGCACTAGGTACTGCATGTATAAAAAGAGTGCTAGTCCCCATTTTCAAAGGGTTCTTTACTTGGAGAAGCAAAAGATATGCTTAAAAATGGTGGAAAACCCCACAAGGAACATATACCTGCTAACAGAAAATAGTAAACAGTAAAAAAGAATGTGAAATAAAAATTCAGAGAAAGTAAATTTTGAGATTCGGGTTTGTGAGGAAAAAAACCTCACACATTTTTTAAAAAATGAAAACAGCATGAGCTTTCTGAACATACAAACCATATTCTTCCTTTTTTAAAACGACTCTTCCTTTAACTAAACTTCTACTGGCAACTGGGTTAAGAACGTGGTTTTCTACCGGCACAAAAATGTGTGTATACTTCACAAATACAAAGCCATTCCTGTATATTGAATTCAGTCTATTATACTACCTAGGGAGAGAAACAAACATTTATTTAAAGCAAAAAATTTAAAAACTAGAAATACTACAGAGCAACTAGAAGAAAGCTTTACATTTAAATATTGTCTCAATTATGATAATTTAGTTTTAATTTTACAGGTATTCAATAATCAGGTTTCAAGTAGTACATTTGGTATTAAATTATATTCTTATGACCTTTAAAGGTGAGAAATCAGAATTAAAATTAAAACATAAAGCATGAATTCAGGGTGCTAGAAAGAAAATTCTGAAAAAAATAACTGATAATTTTTAAAAGGACATACTTAACCCAGACCATTCATCATCGATATAGGGTTGATTACGGCTAACATCCCACTGATAATCAGAAGTGGTAGACTGAGAAACTGGCTCAGCAGTAGACCCTTAAATGAAAAACGAATGCAATAAAATTAAAAATGGAATTTCCTAATGATGTTTCATAACAATAGTTCTATACTTTGACATGGAGACTTTATTTTAAAAATATCTCCTAAAAGGAAAAATTCAGACATTAGAAAAAGAGTAAGTTAAAAGGAAAGTAGAATTGAGGGTAATTTTAGATTACCTATGATAATCACTTGATCTAATTCACTGATCAGAAATATTTATTTTCCCTAGCACCAATCCATTAGATTTTGTATTCTGTATTTTATGTCAACTGGTTACCTATAAATTTCTTTTTTCTTTTTTTTTTGAGACAGGGTCTCACTCTGTCATCCAGGCTGGAGTGCAGTGGTATGATCATGGCTCACTGTAGCCTCAACCTCATAGGCTCAAGAGATCCTCCTACCTCAGTCTCTCAGGCAGCTGGAACCACAGGCTTGCCTCACCATGCTGGGTTTTTTTTCTTTTTTCGAGATAGAGTCTCGCTTTGTTGCCCAGGCTGGAGTGTAGTGGCACAATCTCAGCTCACTGTAATCTCTGCCTCTTGGGCTCAAGCAATCCACCTACCTCAGCCTCCCAAGTAGATGGAACCACAGGTACACATTATGCCCAGCTAATTTTTATATTTTTTGTAGAGATGGGGTTTCACCACGTTGCCCAGGCTGGTTGTCAACTTCTAGGCTTAAGTGATCCTCCTGCCTCAGCCTCCCAAAGTGCTGGGATTAAAGGCATGAGCTGCTATGCCTGGTCTCCTGGCTTAGTTTTCAAAATTTTTTTGTAGCGATAGCGTCTCCCTGTGTTGCCCAGGCTGGTCCTGAACTTCTAGCCTCCAGTGATCCTCCTGCCTCGGTCTCCCAAAGTGCTGGGATTACAGGCATGAGCCACTGTGCTCTGCCTACAAATTTCAAGAAGTCAAAAAAAGTTATTTTTTCCTTCTTTTTAATGGAAAATAAAACACAATAGAAATCTCTGCCATTGATCATTTTAGTCCTGGCTGTTTCAGGACTATGTATCTTCAAAACCCTGAAAGAGAGAACTAGAAAATATATGAGTTAGCTAGAATCTTTTGGTTAAGAAACGTTAAATAAATAGGTAATTATCTAAAGAGGTGAAGCAGAGAGAAGCTAAAGAGACAAGAGAATTACAGGAGATCTAGAGACTAAGTTCAAGTGCATTTAAAGAAAACAGTATCTTGTAAGTTTTGCCTGTTTTTTTTTTTTTCTCAGGTGAGCCGAGTAGGCTGGGTGAGAGTGGGTTCACATAGTCATTTAGAAACCTGATGAAAGCTGTGGTAGCCTGCTGTTAAGCTCTAGAGCTTAACAAAAAATTTTACATAAGTTTTGGGGGGCATATGAGTTCACTGATGCCAAGTCAAAACCCCTTGCTTTACGGATGTAAATTCATTTTAGGATGTAAATGTAAAGCACTGGTTATCAGGTGTGCACACGCACAAACACCCATTCTGAATCAGAATTTACATGTGTCCTGGAGTCCTGGGATGACTCTGATATATATATTTTGGATTCAGAGCCACCATAAAAAGAAATAATTAGGAAAAAAAGATAATTGCTTGGTTTAAAAGTTTGTTTTTTTTTTTGTTTTTTTTTTTTTTTTTTGAGACGGAGTTTCGTTCTCGTTACCCAGGCTGGAGTACAATGGCGTGATCTCGGCTCACCGCAACCTCCGCCTCCTAGGTTCAGGCAATTCTCCTGCCTCAGCCTCCTGAGTAGCTGGGATTACAGGCATGCACCACCATGCCCAGCTAATTTTTTGTATTTTTAGTAGAGACGGGGTTTCACCTTGTTGACCAAGGTTGGTCTCGATCTCTTGACCTTGTGATCCACCCGCCTCGGCCTCCCAAAGTGCTGGGATTACAGGCTTGAGCCACCGCGCCCGGCCTTAGGTTTTTTTTTTTTTTTTTTGAGATGGAGTTTCGCTCTTGTTACCCAGGCTGGAGTGCAATGGCGCGATTTCCGCTCACCGCAACCTCCGACTCCTGGGTTCAGGCAATTCTCCTGCCTCAGCCTCCTGAGTAGCTGGGATTACAGGCACGCGCCACCATGCCCAGCTAATTTTTTGTATTTTTAGTTGAGGCGGGGTTTCACTATGTTGACCAGGATGGTCTCGATCTCCTGACCTTGTGATCCACCCGCCTCGGCCTCCCAAAGTGCTGGGATTACAGGCATGAGCCACCATGCCCGGCTGTGTTAAAAGTTTTACATACAACCACATCCTTCCACGAGAGTCCTTACTAATTTATAAATTTCTTCTTGGTTACAGATGATCTTTTTTTTTTTTTTTTTTTTTTTTTTTTGAGACGGAGTTTCCCTCTTGTTACCCAGGCTGGAGTGCAATGGCGCGATCTCGGCTCACCGCAACCTCCACCTCCTGGGTTCAGGCAATTCTCCTGCCTCAGCCTCTTGAGTAGCTGGGATTACAGGCACACACCACCATGCCCAGCTAATTTTTTTTTTTTGTATTTTTAGTAGAGACGGGGTTTCACCATGTTGACCAGGATGGTCTCGATCTCTTGACCTCGTGATCCACCCGCCTCGGCCTCCCAGAGTGCTGGGATTACAGGCTTGAGCCACCGCGCCCGGCCCAGGTTACAGATGATCTTACCAGCATTCTGCTAACATATTAACTGCTTGATATATACTCTCTCTATATATATGTTTAATATATATATTTTAATGTAAACTTTAACAGAGTAATTCTATAAAATTCACATTTAATTATTAGTTGCTTAGAAGCAGTATTGTAACACTGCTGCTATTCCTTTAGCAGCCCACACTACTTTCTCTGAATATAAGAAGGGAACAGCATTTGTCTTGTACAGCCACCAAATGAGGAAGCAGCGAACTTGTACTTCTGGAACCAAAACGTGGTCTATAAGACCAGAGTTTGGAAAACTATGACTCGTAGACCAAATCCCCAACTGTCTGGTTTTTATATGGCTCATGAGCCAAGAATCATTTTCATATTTTTAAATGGTTAAAAAATATCAGGCCAGGCACAGTGGTTCATGCCTGTAATCCCAGCACTTTGGGAGGCCGAGGCAGGTGGATCACAAGGTCAAGAGATTGAGACCACTCTGGCAAACATGTTGAAGGCCCATCTCTACTAAAAATACAAAAAACTAGCTGTACATTGTGGTGCACCTGTAGTCCCAGCTACCTGGAAGGCTGAGGCAAGAGAATTGCTTGTACACCAGGAGGCAGAGGTTGCAGTGAGCCTAGATCGAGTCACTGCACTTCAGCCTGGCGACAGAGCAAGACTCTGTCTCCAAAAAAAAAAAAAAAAAATCAAAAGAATAGTATTTTGGAACCAGACACAGCCATTTGCTTACTGTCTCAGGCTGCATTCCTGTTATAACAGCAGAGTTGAGTAACTGCAACAGAGGCTGCATGGCCTACAATCCCTAAAACGTCTACTATCTGTCCCTTTATATAAAATGTTCGCTGACCCTCTTTCTAGCTTAGTGATTCCAGACACTGTGAAACTATAAAATTAGTAATCTGGGTCCATGAATTCCAGTGTGAACCCAGCACTGCAAACTAAACAATGTCTCCCATATTTTACACACACACACACACACTTTGAGACAGAGTCTTACTCTGTCACCCAGTCTGGAGTGCAGTGGTGCTATCATGGCTCATTGCAGCTTCAGCCTCCTGGATTAGAGAAATCCTCCCGCTACAGCCTCTTGAGTAGCTGGGACCACAGGCAAATACCACCATGACTGGCTAATTTCTTTTTTAACTTTATGTAGTGAAGTAGTTGACCAGGCTTGTCTCGAACTCCTAATCTCAAAGTGATTCTCCCACCTCAGCCTCCCTACATGCTGGGATTATAGACGTGAGCCACTACACCTGGCCTCCCACATTTGTGTAATATTTGTTAAATATATATAGTTTCTATATGATTAATAAAACATACATCCATTTAAGTAATGCAAAATTGACAGTAGTTTATTAGTAATCATGTATTTTATAAATCAATAAATACTTAAGTTGGCCGGGCGCTGTGGCTCAAGCCTGTAATCCCAGCACTTTGGGAGGCCGAGGCAGATGGATCACGAGGTCAAGAGATCGAGACCATCCTGGTCAACATGGTGAAACCCCGTCTCTACTAAAAATACAAAAAAAAATTAGCTGGGCATGGTGGCGCATGCCTGTAATCCCAGCTACTCAGGAGGCTGAGGCAGGAGAATTGCCTGAACCCAGGAGGCGGAGGTTGCGGTGAGCCGAGATCGTGCCATTGCACTCCAGCCTGGGTAACAAGAGTGAAACTCTGTCTCAAAAAAAAAAAATAAAATAAAATAAAATAAATACTTAAGTTATTATGTGGGAATCCATAAGCTGAAAGGGTTAGTTCTAAACTCATGATGAGTAACAGTGAACAGAAGTAAAATGTCAAATTGTAACTAAAAGTATGGTAGGACTACATTAAAGACTATGAACCTGAAGGGAAGGCCTTGCATGTATATTTGTGTGCCAACACAGTGTCAGTGATCTCAGGCCACAGAATCCTTACACCCCTAGAGATGGGAATTAAGCCATTTGCACACAAGAATTTAGGTCTTCTCTCCCAGTTGTAAAGGCCTTTGCCATTTTATAATAGCTGCTATTTATATTGATATCAGTACTTGATGTTGATTAGTTTTTCAAATAACAAATACTAAAATTAAACAAATGTTTTTGTTAGCTGAACAAAAGACTGTTTTCACATACCAGAAACAGCAGAGTTAAGTGTGAGAGATGCAAAAGAAGCAGAATTCTGTTCAGAGGTATTCATTCCCCTATCCACACTAGACCAAGCAGCTGTTAAAATAAAAAATGTCACTTGGAACCTTCAATTTGCAATCAGACTTGAAAGACATGTAAAGATTTAAAACTGTGATAACAATATTTATCAAGATAACCTTAGAAATCAGAACCACTTAATATAGCAACAGCTACTATTTACTGGATATTTATTATGTAGCTGGACCCCTTACACCAACCACTTCTAATCCTTACAGCAACTTTGCTAGGCAGTTTTGGAGCAATTAAATGACTTGCTGACAGCTAGAAAACAGCTGAGCCATGATTACAACTTAAGTCAATTCCCAAAGCCTATGCTCTTTTCCACTATACCAAGCTGCATTGTTATCTATCATAATTAAGCAACTACTTTGGGTTAGCACTGAACTTGGTACTTGATTTCATTATAACAAATTCTCATAATTACTTAAGTATGAGGTTCATACAGGTTAAATAACTAGCCTGAATGTCCATAAAAGCTATCGTATAGAATAACAGACATCTATCTGTATCTAATAGATCTGTCTGAACCAGTTCCTGTTCATTACTGTATACCATGCTACATTCTCAATAATTTCAAGACATTTCTTTCTTATTTTAAAGAACAGAAACCTCCATGGGACAAGTCACATCTGTCTCTTCTCTGTAACCCATTACAAACCTATTTAATATGGTTCCCCTTCAATTTCAATAAAGGTCCTATTCTATCTAGGTAGGAACTCTAATTTGCTGTTTAATTTTATCTATAATAACATTAAGTAAATACCATCTAATTTATGTCCTAATTATGAAATGTTACATAGCTTTTTATAAGTAAATTGCAGGCCAGGAGCAGTGGCTCACATCTGTAATCCCAGTACTTTGAGAGGACGAGGCAGGTAGATCATGAGGTCAGGAGTTCAACATCAGCCTGGCCAACATGGTGAAACCCCGCCTCTACTAAAAATACAAAAATTAGTTGGGCATGGTGCCACATGCCTATAATCCCAGCTTCTTGGGAGGCTGAGGCAGGATAATCACTTGAACCGGGACCTGAGAGGCAGAGGCTGCGATGAGCTGAGATCACTCCATTGTACTCCAGCCTGGGCTATAGAGCGAGACTCCCAACTCAAAAAAAAAAAAAAAAAAAAAAAAAGTAAATTGTAAATATCCTAAAAGGTCACACAGTTCCTAACATTACTCCATAAAATTCAACCATTTCTTTTACCAAATATGAAAGGATGCTTTATAGCATAGAAATTAATGCTTTCTTCTCTGCTGAAAATGGGAGTGGGAATTTAGGAATGCCTTTTTTTCTTTCTTTTTTATGAGACAGAATCTTGCTCTGTTGCCAAAATGGAGTGCAGTGGCACAATCTTGGCTCACTGCCACCTCCGCCTTCCAGTTTCAAGCAATTCCTGTCTCAGCCTCCTGAGTAGCTGGATTACAGGCATGTGCCACCGTGCTTGGCACATTTTTGGATTTTAGTAGAGATGGGGTTTCACCATGTTGCTCAGGTTGGTCTTGAACTCCTGAGCTCAGGCAATCTACCTGCCTCGACCCCATCAAAGCGCTAGGATTACAGGCATGAGCCACCATACCCAGCCAAGAGAATGACTCTTTCAAACAAATTTTGATACCTCTATACAATTTTTCAATACAATGAGGAGGAAGGAAAAGCAAACTTAAGAACAATATTAGTAAATGATCTAGAGTTTGATTTTTGACAGTGTTAGGTTTTAAAAAAAGTGGGGCCAGATGCGGTGGCTCACGTCTGTAATTCCAGCACTCTGGGAGGCCGAGGCAGGCAGATCACCTGAGTTCGAGAGTTTGAGAGCAGACTGACCAACATGGAAAAACTTCATCTCTACTAAAAATGCAAAATTAGCCAGGCGTGGTGGCACATGCCTGCAATCCCAGCTACTCAGGAGGCTGAGGCAGGAGAATCGCTTGAACTTGGGAGGCGGAGGTTATAGTGAGCCAAGACTTCACCATTGTACTCTAGCCTAAGCAATAAGAGTGAAACTCCATCTCAAGAAAAAAAAAAAAAGTGACAGAAAAAGCTAGTAACAAAGGAAAAGAGTATTTTTCTACTTACTAAAAAGTTTCTAGTGGTCGGGATTTTGAGACCAGCCTGACTAACATGGAGAAATGTTTAGTAGAGAACTCCTGACTCTACTAAAAATACAAAATTAGCTGTGCATGGGGGTGCATGCCTGTAATCCCAGCTACTTGGGAGGCTGAGGCAGAAGAATCACTTGAACCTAAGAGGCGAAGGTTGCAGTGAGCCAAGATTGCGCCATTGCACTCCAGGCTGGGCAACAGAGTGAAATTCTGCCTTAAGGAAAAAAAAAGTGACAGAAACAGGTAGGAAGGAATATTTTTCTACTTTTATACTAAAAAGTTTCTAGTGTCTACTGATCCCTCAAATTAGAAGAGATAAACAAAAAATATTTGCAATAAGCACAAGAGAAAAAAATCTTACGTTTAACGTACAAGAAAGTTTAACTAGATTAAAAAAAAAAAAAGTAGTAGGCAGACATGGTGGTCCCCATCTGTAATCACAGCACTTTGAGAAGCCAAGGTGGGTGGATCACTTAAGCCCATGAGTTTGAGACCAGCTAGGTCAACATAATGAAACTGCGTCTCTACAAAAAATATCAAAGTTAGCCTTTAATTAGTCTTCAGGCATGGTTGCACACCACGCCTGTGGTCACAGCTACTCAAGAGGCTAAGGCGGGAAGATCATTTGAACCCTGGAAGCTGAGGCTGCAGTGAGCTATGATCACACCACTGCACTCCAGCCTGGGCAACAGAGTAAGACCCTGCCTCAAAAAATTAAAAAACAAAAACAAAAGCCAAAAAACCATGAAGAGCTCATTAGACAAACGGGAAAATAACATTAACAGACAATTCATAAAAGAAAGAAATGACCAAGAAAGGGCCAGGCATGTTGGCTCACGCCTATAATCCCAGCACTTTGGGAGACTAAGACGGGTGGATCATGAGGTCAGGAGTTTGAGGCTAGCCTGGCCAATATGATGAAACCCTGTCTATACCAAAAATACAAAAATTAGCCAGGCATGGTGACAGGCGCCTATAATCCCAGTTACTTAGGAGGCTGAGGCAGGAGAACGCTTGAACCTGAGAGGCAAAGGTGCAGTGAGTTGATAAAATGCCACTGCACTCCAGCCTGGGTGACACAGTGAGACTCCATCTCCAAAAAAGAAATAAATGACCAAGAAATTTGTGGAAAAATATTCAATCTCATTAGTGGTATTACCAAGTTAACTCAAGTAATTTATGTACTTTTTGCTTATCAAATTAGAAAAGGTGGAGGAAAAAAAAATCCCCAACCTTGGTAAGCATAGGATTAAATGGATACTTACACTAATGCTTTGAATATAAATTAGAACAACTCTCTTAGAAAATACTTAGGCATTATGTAGTAGAGCATTATAAACATTCATATTCCCTTTAATCCAATATCACTCACAAGACTCTGTCCTTAAGAAATAACTGCAAAACATGGCCAGGCGTGGAGGCTCATGCTTGCAAGCCCAGCACTTTGAGAGGGCAAAGCAGGAAGATCACTTGAGGTCAGGAGTTCAAGTCCGGTCTGGCCAACATGGTGAAACCCCATTTCTATTAAAAAAACACAAAAATGGCCGGGCGCGGTGGCTCAAGCCTGTAATCCCAGCACTTTGGGAGGCTGAGGCAGGTGGATCACGAGGTCAAGAGATCGAGACCATCCTGGTCAACATGGTGAAACCCTGTCTCTACTAAAAATACAAAAAATTAGCTGGGCATGGTGGTACGTGCCTGTAATCCCAGCTACTCAGGAGGCTGAGGCAGGAGAATTGCCTGAACCCAGGAGGCGGAGGTTGCGGTGAGCCGAGATCGTGCCATTGTACTCCAGCCTGGGTAACAAAAAAAAAAAAAACCACACACACACGCACATAAAAATTAGCTGCGTGTGGTGATGTGCACCTGTAATCCCAGCTACTTGGGTGGCTGAGGCACGAGAAATGCTTGAACCCAGGAGGTGGAGGTTGTAGTGAGCTGAAATCATGCCCCTGCACTCCAAGCCTGGGCAATGAGTGAGACTCCCTCTTAAAAACAACAACAACCCCATATATATTCAGTGCAACATTATCTACAATGGTTAAAAAAAGAAAAATTACTTCTTAAATAATATGGGAATAGTTAAGTAAATTATACTATCCTTAGATTATAGGGCCATTAAATACACTTACAAAAAGTAAGGAAAATGTTTATGTTACAATGTTAAGTGGGGATTTGGGGAGACATAAACATGCATATCCAATTTTAGTTGTATCAAAAACAAAAATACTAAAGCAAAACTATAGACTGGGTGTGGTGGCTCATGCCTAAAATCCAAGCACTTTGGGAAGCCGAGGTGGGCAGATTACCTGAGATCAGGAGTTCAAGACCAACCTGGCCTATATGGCAAAACCCCGTCTTTACTAAAAATACAAAAATTAGCTGGGTATGATGGTACACATCTGTAATCTCAGCTACTTAGGAGGCTGAGGTTGCAGTGAGCAGAGATTGGGCCACTGCACTCCAGCCTGGGAAACAGAGCGAGATTCCACCACAAAACAAAAACAAAAACAAAAAAAAAAACAAACCAAACTCCACCCCTACTGCCCCCACCCACTATACACAGTCGGGGGCAGGAGAAAGGGAGGAATAAGAAATATAAGTAACAGTGGTTGTTACTAGGTAGCATAGTGATAACTGTGGGATTTTTCCTTATCTTTTTGCAGTTTTCCACATTTAATGTGAATTTCTTTTCTATAATACACACACACATGCACACACAAACTCACAAATTAAGTTGCTTTTAACTTGATGGCTCTCAACAGAAATAAACGTCTCAAGTACTGATCTTTATTATCAAAATCCAGAGAAAAATTTAATTATAAATAGGCCACTCTGCAGATGGTAAAATGTAAGTGGATGTTATCAACTGTACTTCCATTTACTATTTTTATTTAGACTCAACACAATTATTGAAATTAATAAAAAACTCTACTGACACATTACATGTATCATATCACTAAGAATACATAATTACACCAGTTAGCTACATTGATAATCAAATGTGATAAAGTATGTGAAAGCACTATGCAAAGAGTAAATGATGTTATTTAGTTCCCACCTTGCTCTACAAAAAGGATGTGAGATGAGTTAATTATTACTATTATTTCTGCAGAACAGTACTTATTTTTCTATTCATACTTTTCCTATTTCTGAAAAATTAAAAATGTGCAAGATTAGTTATTTTAAATAAACTTAAATTTTTCTAACACTTCTTACCAATGCCAGAAAATATTGAACGGTCACTCCAACTCCTTCCCCAGTCTTTTCCATCCGCATTAGCATCTCCAGTGTCTTGACTCCAGGCAGATGGCTCAGTTTTCCTCTTTCCTGTAGAAGCAGGTGAAACAGAGTTCCACTTCTCCTCACCTGCACTGATCTGTGAGGAGAGTTTTACAGACTTTTCATTCCAGCCTCCTCCATTGACAGTAAGGTTTTCATTCAATCCTGAAGAAACTTAAAAAAAAAAAAAGAAGAAGATTTGAAATAGGTACATGACTTCTTAAAACTGGGATATTTTCACATTTCTATGATTGCTTGACTTTAATATTTATTACTCACTTCCCCTACTATCCTTTGATCATCGAGAATTGCCTTTTTAATTTAAAAATAGGAGGCTTATACACAACATATATACTAACAAGTTTTTAACAGTAGAATGACTTGCTCAAAGGAAGTACAACAGAGCAAACAGGAAATGACACATATTCTGAATACTCACCCACTAAGAAGATGAAGACATCTCCTAGTTACATGTTCTTTCCTTAATTATTTATACATACTACATTATGTATCAAGCAATGATTCTAAAACCTGGCTGCACATTAAAATTAACTAAAAAATTTCTTAAAAACAGACTCTGGAGTCTCAGCCCAGACCAATTAAAATCAGAATCTTTGTGGTGGAGCCCAGGTATCATTATGTATGTATGGTGTATGTACACATACCCACACACAAATACACATAGGTGTGTGTGTAAATTAGTACATGTTTATTTATATATATGTGTGTGTATATGTTGTTTTTTAAAGCTTCCTGGATAACTAATGTGTAGCCAGGGTTGAGAATCATGGGCATGAAGGAAGCTTTTTGACAGTGCTAAGAACCAGCACTGAAAAGCCTGAAATGAGGTTGGGTGCGGTGGCTGACTGACACCTGTAATCCCAGCACTTTGGAAGGCTGAGGCAGGTGGATCACCTGAGGTCAGGAGTTTGAGACCAGCCTGGCCAATATGATGAAACCCCATCTCTACTAAAAACAAAAATTAGGTAGCAACTGCCTGTAATCCCAGCTACTCGGGAGGCTGAGGCAAAAGAATTGTTTGAACCTGGGAGGCAGAGGTTGCAGTGAGCCGAAATCCTGCCACTGCACTCCAGGCTGGGCGACAAGCGAAACTCCGTCTCAAAAAAAAAGTCTGATGTCTGTCCTAGGACTTTGGGAGGCTGAGGTAGGTGGATCACCTAAGGTCAGGAGTTTGAGACCAGCCTGGCCAACATGGCAAAACCCCATCTCTACTAAAACATACAAAAATTAGCCAGGCGTGGTGGTGGGTGCCTGAAATCCTAGCTACTCAGGAGGTTGAGGAAGGAAAATCACTTGCACCCAGGAGGAGGAGGCTGCAGTAAGCCCAGACTGCTCTACTGCACTCCAGCCCGAGAAACAAGGCCAAAACTCTCCATCTCAAAAAAAAAAAAAAAAAAAAAAAAGGCCTGAACGAGAAGGTGCGTTTCTCATTTCCAAATTTATTTTACTACAACACTTTTGTCTTCAGGTCAGGGATAACACTACTTAATTCAGTCTTTACCATAAATGAGTAAACAAAACATATTTTCTATTTATAAAGCAATGAAAACTTTAGACTATAGTCCATGTATTGTGAAATATTTGATACTGTCAAGGAAGCAGTTAAAACATTATAGGAACTAAGGCTTTTTTTTTTTTTAAACATACAAGCATCAAGCATTTTATCCCATATATGGTATATTAAACCCAAGCCCAACAAAAATCTTTCTTTTCTACTGGCTTAAGTGATATAAGCAAGAATCAAAATTGCATATAAGCGAATACTCAATGTTTTTATATATGGGGGGAAAAAAAAACTAGAACATACCAAAGATTGTTAGAAGTGGGAGTGATTTTTCTTTTTATTTATTTTCCAAAACCTCTGGACCGTGATTATGTTACTTTAATAATTAAACATCATTTTAAGACTTTTTTCTTTCCTTCTGTGTCATTCATGTGAGGAAAGAGATATGTATATAAATTTCTACTTTGATGGGCCTTCAATTTAAGTTACATGTAATTTCTCTCACCCTGAAGTGTAGAATCTCCTTTTCCAGATTTAAAGTTGCTAACTTGAACATTTAGATGAGAATCACCTGGTTAAAATAGAAATAAAATTTATTTAATACTAAATAGGCCGGTACTATGCACATTAAATTAGGAGTAACACATAATTTTTACTTATTATCTATTACAAATTGCTCCTTCAAGTGCTAAATTCTTCCACTGGAAAAAAGTCAATTTTACAACACATTTCACTTGTTGGTAAGGAACTGAGTTTTCTGGTTACCATATTCTTAGTCAACTAAAATGCCAATAAAACTGCCTATGAACAGACAGAGTTTGCTATTCTGTATCAGTTATTAAGATTCTTTTAAGTAGTAAATGGGCTCTGTAATTGGATTCAACTTTGCCACCTCTCAACAACATCAGCTGCCTTTTCAACAATCCTGGAAGCAAACACATCAACTTATGAAGAACTTTGCCAGTATTTGGGACCAGGACTTAGGAAATATGGCAAGAGGTGGGAATACACATTATAACACAAAAATACTATTTCTCTGACACTAAAAAGCGTATGATCACAATGTTTAAAAAAACAGCATGACATAGGATTGTGCTAGCAAGGAAGGCATGCATAAGACAGTGAAAAATAATCATCAACAAAAATACTAAAGCATAGTGACAGTGAAAATGGGTAAGCAGAAGTTATTGCTGTACCATGGCAATAAATTCCACCAAGTTATCAAGCAAAAAATAAAAGGCAACAAGGCTAAGAAAATGGTTTGGAAACAACTGAGATGTGGGGAGATGGGAAGGTCATCAACAAAAAGACAAGGAAGATATATGCCAACGCCTTCAAGCAAGTTGAACAGTATCACTTTGCAGACTGGTGTCTCCAGGGTAAAAATGATAGTAATGTAAAGGGTGAGTTACCAAGAAGCCACCAGTATCAGAGAGTATGAATATCTGAAATATTAATATTTGGGAGAAAGAACATTAGCTCAATAATCTTTGAAGTTCCGGTCTAGCTCTATCAAACATCTATGATACTCTCAAAAAACTGGGGTGATGAGAAATCTAGACACAACCTGTATTAACCAGAACATGCTTGATTCATCTTGGAATGAAAGCACTCAACATGCAAAACGGTGATAAATCATTTCATTTAATAAATGTCTTATCTACTCTAAGGAAAGGAGATGCAAGAGAGTTGGGGCAAAGTGATACAAACTAGAAAAGTGGCAACATCATCTTCTCATATGACTCAAGGCAGAAAGGCAAATTTTAATTTAATAGGCCATTCATTAGGTAATATGTAACAAGTAACACTGCTGGTATTAGGTAAACCAATACATGGTTCACAATACTCATGAAGAAGGGTATATCAGCACAATGATGTTAGCATTCAAAATAGTCAGATTTTGACATAATGATATTTTGTACATCCAAATAAAAGGAGTTTGGTTTGATGTACCACTGTCTTATGTTCCACTAATATACCTTTATTCTTCTTGGAACCAACAGGAAATGATGCAGTTGTAAGTTGCTCGGTGGTAACTGTGATGGTATTTTCTATCCCAGGGATAGTTGAATCCAATGAACCAGAATCAGTCAGCACCTTATCACGTTTACGCTGCTGTCGTTTCTCTCTGTGACTAATTTTAGTTTCCCAGGCTCCTGACATAGCCCCAGAAAAAAAATGTTATTCAGTAAGGGGAAGACAAAAAAAGTTGTAGTTTTTTTTGGGGGGAGAAAATGGGGTGGAGCACATAAAATGTCATGATAAATTTAGATATTAAGCTGAAACCAAGAGTGTTGATTATATTAATTCATTCTAAGAATGTCTTCTAATTTCATTATGTTGGTTTAGGCAACTGCTGTTATTTATTCTAATAATTTTTTTTTAATCAAAGCTGTCATCTATGGTTTAGAAAAAGTGATAAGTCATCTTGTCTATCTTTTTTTTTAATCTTGCTAGGTAGAATTGATACGAGGGTATTATATATAATCACTAATAAATGGGTTTATTAGGTGATGATAATAAATGACTTAAGAATTTTGTACAAAGTCTTTCAGGAATGGTATATTTAAGAACCATGGGGAAAAAAACAAACAAACAAACAAACCATAATTCCAGGAGACAAAGACAAGATGAATGACTTTTCAATTGCTCGAAATACAGAGCTTGACTTTAAATTTCAAGGCAGTTTCCTTCAGAAAAAGCACTAATGGATCCTTAACAAAAGTGTTTCCTAACAGTGTCACAGATTTATATATTAAGGTCTACAGTTATAAAAAAAAGAAGAGCTAAATACAAAATTAAGTGAAACAAATGCAGCTTTTATATAATACATTTTGATAAAAAAGGGTTAAAAAATTTTCTGTAGTCCTTTCCCTTGCTCAAGTACCTTCATCAACTTCCTTTCCATCATGGCGTGAACTGTTTTGCACTGCTTTAGCATCTGACTTTGATTTCTTCTTATTTTTCTTTGACTGAAAGTAAAATAGAATGTTACTTAATATTTCATTATGTTTTTGAATAAGTAGGAGTCAGTAAAATACATAATGAAATGTATGATGCTGACAACTAAAAAAATTTAATGTTTGATTTAAAACACTTAACATATTAAGTGGCAATAATAATCATATGAGGTTACCATTGAGTGAGTGGTTACTATGTGGTAAGTATTCTGTACTCATTTTCTTATTTATTTCTTTAAAGAAACTTGCTGGAGAAGGTATCAGCCTCATTTTAGAGACGAGAAAATAAAAACTCAGAGATGTAAAATATTAACTAGGTTGTACCACATCGCATCGTTAGCAAACTAAGTCATAATCAGGAACTAGGTCTGTCTGGCTCCAAAGTCTGTGCCCTTCCGCATCTAGCTAACATAAATTATGTCATAAATAAGGTACTGTAATATGGTATTTTCAAAGCAACAAAATTAAAACCTATTGCAATATGTTCAGATGGAAAATGATGTGGTGATTATTGGTTTTTGGATTGCACAAAGCAGACTGATGCTATATCCTATGTATAACAAATTAATAAGTCAATTGTACATAGTAGGTATTATTTTTGTCTGTTGCAAAGCAATGTAAAAATACCTAGGATTTATATATAGATGTTTAATAATTCAATCCAGATAAAATACCTATACACAGATAAGACATGGATATTTTCAGATGATCTTCCAACTCCCTTCTGCTAATATTATTTTATCCTTTCAAAAGCTTGCAAAAAACAACATAAAGCCCTGATTTCTGTATTTAGATGAGTGCTTCCAGAAGAGAATTAACATTTATAAAATAGTATTTTTATACTTTGTATTCACTTATTTAGCTATTTATTGAGAACAGTTATGTATGTATTACTGCACACTATCTTTTTTTTTTTTTCCTCCCCAAAATGGAGTCTTGCTCTGTTGCCTAGGCTGGAGTGCAGTGGCATATCAGCTCACTGCAACCTCCGCCTCCCAGGTTCAAGCAATTCTCTGCCTCAGCCTCTTGAGTAGTTGGGATTACAAGCACCCACCACTATGCCCAACTAATTTTTGTATTTTCAGTAGAGACAGACTTCACCATGTGGACCAGGCTGGTCTCAAACTCCTGACCTTGTGATCTGCCCACCTTGGCCTCCCAAACTACTGCACACTATCTTAAAGGCAGTAAATGAGTTTGAGCAAGTGAGTAAGCAATGACAGATAATTGCTTTTCCTACCAATAAACAACATGCATATATTCTCAAGTGACATGATCTCTTGAAAGTGATTAAAAATTGTCTTTGCCAAGAGATGACAGAGAAAAACTATTTTTTTTTACTGTTCTCATAACTGATTTGCATTTGTTCATTTCTTTGCATGTTCTCATTATCATTAACATGTTATGTTTAATATACTGGTTTATTACAGTATGTATATTTAATATACTGGTTTATTACATGTACCAAACCAGCCTCATATCCACTTTAAAGAAAAAAAGATATGCAGAGATATTCACATACCATAATATTCACCCTTTTAAAGGTGATCAATTCAGTGGTTTTTAGTGTATGTGAAATTGCACAACTATCAAAATTATTATTTTTATTTTTTGAGACGGAGTCTCATTCTGTCGCCCAGGCTAGATTGCAGTGCTACGATCTCAGCTCACTGCAACTTCTACCTCCCAGGCTCAAGGAATTCTCCTGCCTCAGCCTGCTGAGTAGCTGGGATTAGAGGTGCACGTCACCATGGCTAATTTTTTTATTTTTTAGTAGAGATGGAGTTTCACCATGTTGGCCAGGCTGGTCTTGAACTCCTGACCTCAAGTGATCTGCCTCGGCTTCCCAGAGTGCTGGGATTACAGGCTTGAGTCACCACTCCCAGCCTCAAAATTATTATTTAATGCCAAAAAAGAAACTCTGTAATGATTAGAGGTTACTCTCAACTCCTCTCTTCTCACTGGCAACCATAACTCTACTTTCTCTGTCTTTATGACAGCCACTCTTAAGCAAAGATAACATGTTGAACATCTGTTAATTACAGTTGAGCAGAGGCAGCAAATCTTTTCTGCAAAGAATGAAATAGTAAATATATTAGCCTGTGCAGGCCATAGGGTTCTGAAGTAACCACGCAACTCTGCTCATGTAGCATGAAAGCAGCCATATGCAATTTATAAACAAATAGGTGTGACTATGTTCCCATAAAGCTTTATTCACAAAAACAGGCATCTGGCTAGATTTGGGGTGTCAGAGTTTGCTATCCTTGGTCTAAAGCAGTGCTGGCCAACAGAAATATAATGCAAACCATATATATAATTAAAAAATAGTAGACACATTTGTAAGTTAAAATAGGTGACAATTCTAACATTTAACACAATGTATCTAAAATGCGTCATTTCAACATGGAACTCATAAAAAAACAACTTAATAAGATAGTACGAAAAAGAAGACTAAGTCTTCAAAATCTCACATGTATTTTATACTTAACAGTAATTTCAATTTGGACTTTTTTTTTTTTTTTTTTTTTGAGACGGAGTTTTGCTCTTGTTGCCCAGGCTGGAGTGCAATGGCACGATCTCGGCTCACTGCAACCTCCACCTCTCAGGGTCAAGTGATACTCCTGCCTCAGCCTGCTGAGTAGCTGGGATTACAGGCATGCGTCACCACGCCTGGCTAATTTTTTGTTTTCAGTAAGAGACAGGGTTTCTCCATGTTGGTCAGGCTGGTCTTGAACTCTCAACCTCAGGTGATTCACCCATCTTGGCCTCCCAAAGTGCTGGGATTACAGGTGTGAGCCACCATGGCCAGCCAGACAAGTCACATTTTAAGTGCTCAATATCCACATGTGGCAAGTGGCTACCATAGTGAACAGTGCAGGTCCACAGGAACTAAAGCAGGTATCCCCATTTTGTAGATAGAAGCCATAAAAAATGTTTAACATTGCTGAGTGTGATGGCTCACATCCGTAATCCCAGCAATTTGGGAGGTTGAAGTAGATCACTTGAGCCCATGGTTATGAGACCAGCCAGGACAACACATGGAGAAGATCCTATCTCTTTTTTTTTTTTTTTTTTTGAGACGGAGTTTCACTCTTGTTACCCAGGCTGGAGTGCAATGGCGCGATCTCGGCTCACCGCAACCTCCACCTCCTGGGTTCAGGCAATTCTCCTGCCTCAGCCTCCTGAGTAGCTGGGATTACAGGCACGCGCCACCATGCCCAGCTAATTTTTTGTATTTTTAGTAGAGACGGGGTTTCACCATGTTGACCAGGATGGTCTCGATCTCTCGACCTCGTGATCCACCCGCCTCGGCCTCTCAAAGTGCTGGGATTACAGGCTTGAGCCACCTTGCTCAGCCTGATCCTATCTCTTAAAAAAAAAAGTGGGGGTGATAGCATGCACCTTCCAGCTACTTGAGAGGCTGAGGTAGGAGGATCACTCGAGCCTGGGAAGTTAAGTCTGCAGTGAACTGTGATCATGTCACTGTACTCCAGCCTGGGCAACAGAGTGAAACCCTGTCTCAAAAAAGCCCCCAAAATAAAAAACAAAGAAGAGCGCCTAAGAGGCCGGGTGAGGTGGCTCACGCCTGTCATCCCAGCACTTTGGGAGGCCAAGATCACTGGAGGTCAGGAGTTCAAGATCAGCCTGGCCAATGCAGTAAAACCCATCTACCAAAAATACAAAAAATTAGCCAGGTACGGTGGCACATGCCTGTCCCAGCTACTCAGGAGGCTGAGGCAGGATAATTGCTTGAACCCGGGAGGCGGAGGCTGCAGTGAGCTGAGATCATGCCACTGCACTCCAGCCTGGGTGGCAGAGCAAGATTCTATCTCAAAAAAAAGTGTTTAAGAGCATAGGGTAGGGCCAGGCGCGGTGGCTCAAGCCTGTAATCCCAGCACTTTGGGAGGCCGAGGCGGGTGGATCACGAGGTCGAGAGATCGAGACCATCCTGGTCAACATGGTGAAACCCCGTCTCTACTAAAAATACAAAAAATTAGCTGGGCATGGTGGCGCTTGCCTGTAATCCCAGCTACTCAGGAGGCTGAGGCAGGAGAATTGCTTGAACCCAGGAGGTGGAGGTTGCGGTGAGCCGAGATTGCGCCATTGTACTCCAGCCTGGGTAACAAGAGCAAAACTCTGTCTCGAAAGAAAAAAAAAAAAAAAAAAAGAGCATAGGGTAAAGTGGTGAAACTTGGAACTAGGACAAAAGCTCAGTTCTGATCCACAGTTTAGCCTCATAGATAACCTTTTATTTAGTCTTCCCTATATTTAACTCTAAATACAAATTTAATCATACGTTAGCTATGTAGCTTTGAGCTAAATCATTCTAAACCCTTTTCCCCAACTGTCGTATGAATGAAAATTCTTACTAACCTCAACTAAGTTTATTTTAAAGGTTAAAACAAAAAGTGAAGAGTCTGTTAACTACAAAGTAGTATACATAAATAAGATTTTTTTTTTTTAAAGAAGGGAGACTTTGAAAACATAATTGAAATTATGTTTACACGGAAATATCTGATTTGTAACTAAAAGTCTGCAGAAAAAGATTACCTAAGATTAGACTTAAATATTGTTTGATTTTACTACTGCCATTAAAAGTAATTAACAATAACACGCATCCTGGTATGAGGAAATAAAGTAAACCGGGTGTGGTGGCTCACGCCTGTAATACCAGCACTTTGGGAGACTAAGGCGGGTAGATCACAAGGTCAGGAGATTGAGACCATTGTGGCCAACATGGTGAAACCCCATCTCTTAAAAAAAAAAAACAAAACAAAAACAGTTCAAGACCAGCCTGATCAAAATAGTAAGACCCCATCTCTACTAAAAATACAAAAATTAGCCAGGCGTGGTGGCATGCACTTGTAATCCCAGCTACTCAGGAGGCTGAGACAGGAGAATCACTTGAACCTGGGAGGTGGAGGTTGCAGTGAGCAGAGAAAGTGCCACTGCACTACAGCCTAGGCAACAGAGTGAGACTCTGTCTCAAAAAAAAAAAAAGAGTAGCCGGG